GAGGCCAGATAAGAAGGGCCTTTAAAGCCAGTTAAGAGTTTAAACTTTTAGTCTGAAGGCCACAGGGAGTCTCCGAAACATCATAAGCAGTGACTGACACATCTTGGTTTGTCTGTAAGAAAAAGCATTCTGCTACCCAGATGAGAGGAGGCAGAAAAAAGCAGAGATGGTGTAGGCCTAGGTTAGGGCACTAAGGCCACAGTAGTGAGGGGAGAGGACGCCTGGGAGACCTATGGTGGGGAGGCAGCAGGACTTGGTGGTGACACAACCTGGGGCAAGGCCTTGAGGCTGGTGGTGTGGTGATAACAATCACAGGCTTTGTTCGAGTAAAGACTTAGTTTGTGGTGCCTGTGGGTTATCCCATTGCAGCCTCTATGTCCTCTTGATTAAGTTCACAGTGTGCCTGCGTCGGGAAGGGCAGACTATTTACCAGCAAGTCCTGTCCCTGGAGCGTCCAAGTGTCCTGTGCAGCTGGAACTGGGGCCTATGTGGGTACTTTGCTTTCTACCATGCCCTCTATCCCCGAGCCTGGACTGTCTATCAGCTTCCTGGCCAGAATGTCACCCTAACCTGCCGCCAGATCACACCAATCTTGCCCCACGACTACCAGGTGAGGCCTCTTTCTGTTTCCTACATTGCCCTCCCTTCCCTGGGATTTGCCTCTGCTGGAAATTGCATGACCTAGGAAAGGGAGGAGGTTGGAGGCATAAACATGCTGGCTTCCCAGCACCACCACCAAATTGGTTCTGACCTCTGTGATCCCTGGTAGGCAGCTTTCCTGGGAATATGGGGAGATGCAAGTAGAAGACAGAAGAGAGTATATTGGGGAGTATTTGAGTTGGGTCCTTTGTGCCAAGGACTGATCCTAGGGAGTAGGGCCAGGAGGGGCTATACTGGAACCATCTGAGTCTGATTTTCTGCCCCCAGGACAGCAGCCTGCCTGTAGGAGTCTTTGTGTGGGATGTGGAAAATGAAGGGGACGAAGCTCTGGATGTGTCCATCATGTTCTCCATGCGGAATGGACTGGGTGGTGGAGATGATGCCACAGGGGGTTTGTGGAATGAGCCCTTCTGTCTGGAGCGTGATGGGGAGACTGTGCAGGGACTGCTGCTGCATCATCTAACCCTTCCAAATCCCTACACAATGGCTGTGGCTGCACGACTCACGGTAACGGAAGAGCCTGCCCTATACCTTAGCACCTAACCCCTATCCTCAGCCTGTACCCTGAATCTACCTCCACCCCACCATGGTCTCTTCATTTCTTCAACTCCTAATTCCCACCCTCATCACAGCCCTTAAACCTCTGGAACTTAGAGGCAAGAGTATGTTAGAGGAACTGGAGAGCTAGTCAGAACCCAGCATACTTGTGGAGCTTTCCCTCAGTCTTTGGTCTCTTAACAGGCAGATACCACGGTAACCCACATCACAGCCTTTGACCCTGACAGCACTGGGCAGCAGGTGTGGCAGGATCTACTTCAGGATGGACAGCTGGACTCCCCCGCTGGTGATGAGTGGTCTGCCAGGGAAGTGGTGGGAAGATTGTCCCTGTCTTGGAACCAGGGGAGGGAGGTCTGGTAATGAATAGGCTTTGTTCCCATGTTAGGGATCGCTGTCCCTGGGGCTGAAGGAGGCCTATGCTGATTCCTCTTGTACTTCTCTCAGGCCAAAGCACCCCCTCGCAGAAAGGAGTAGGCGTTGCTGGGGCTGTATGTGTTTCAGCCAAGCTGCCACCTCGAGGCCGATGCCGCCTGGAGTTTTCACTGGCTTGGGACATGCCCAGGATCATGTTTGGAGCTAAGAGCCAAGTCTATTATAGGTGAGGGGGACCAAGGAAATAGAGGGATTCAAGGCATTGGGGCCCTAACCTGGAGCTTATGTTCTCATCCTTCTTCCCCTTTCTTTCCACCTCAGGCGGTACACAAGGTTCTTTGGCCAAGATGGTGATGCAGCACCTGCCCTTAGCCACTATGCACTGTGCCGATATGCAGACTGGGAAGAGAGGATCTCAGCTTGGCAAAGCCCAGTATTGGATGACAGGTGCCAATGGGGCCCATCTCCTGCCTTTCTCCCAGGCACTCACACTCCAAATGGGACTCCTTAATTTACTCTCCACCCACCAAAATCAGGAGAGTTGCACTGGGATTCACTTGGTGCTCCTACTCTACTGGACCCCAGGATCTTTTCTATCCTGGGAGGTCCACACTCATTACACTCTCCTGACTCCCCAGATCCTTGCCTGCCTGGTACAAATCTGCACTGTTCAATGAGCTATACTTCCTGGCTGATGGAGGCACAGTATGGCTGGAAGTTCGAGAGGACTCTCTACCAAAGGAGGTGGGAGGGAGCATGCATCATCTCCACCCCATCCTCCGGGACTACGGTCGATTTGCCTACCTTGAGGGTACGGGCTGCTGGTGGGCTGGGGCATGGCAGGCCGCACCCCTGAGGTCAGTTAGTGTCTCCAAGGCAGGGTGATGGATTTTGCCTACCCCAGGGTATTGGGTGGGGTTCAGGGCATTAGTGGTGGGTGTAGACTAGAGACAGTGCTCCACACCTCCAGCTCTATAGGACAAGCTAGGGAGGGGCTGTGAAAGAAAAGCAGGAATTCTGGCAACAGTGTGTCTCCCTCATTCCTCCAGGCCAGGAGTATCGCATGTACAACACATATGACGTCCACTTTTATGCTTCCTTTGCCCTCATCATGCTCTGGCCCAAACTTGAGCTCAGCCTACAGTATGACATTGGTGAGGTTTGCTTTCATGCTTTGTCTGCCCTCTTAGCTCCCCATACCCCTGAACCTTTGTGGCTCAGATTGTCTCTTCCTTTAACCTCAAACATGTCTGCATCCTGCTTATTAGTTCCCCTCTGAGGTCACACACACAGCTCTGTGCCTCACCCCAAGCCTGCCTGTTCCCTGCCTCTCTCTTATGTTTGCTCCCTTAGCTCTAGCCACTCTAAGGGAGGACCTGACCCGGCGACGGTACCTGATGAGTGGCATGGTGGCACCTGTAAAAAGGAGGAACGTCATCCCTCATGACATTGGGGACCCAGGTAAAAGTCTACCCCAAGGTAGCTTCCCTCCTCAACTTCTGCATCCTCTACCCTATCTACCAATGCAAATGAACCAGGTCCCCTCCCCTTCCACAGATGATGAGCCGTGGCTCCGGGTCAATGCATATTTGATCCATGATACTGCTGACTGGAAGGACCTGAACCTGAAGTTTGTGCTGCAGGTTTATCGGGACTATTACCTGACGGGCGACCAAGGCTTCCTGAAGGACATGTGGCCTGTGTGTCTAGTAAGGATGCATATGCAGTGGCTGGGGCATGGCTGGTGTCTGGGGACAGCCCAGCTGGATACTGTCTTTCCTTGGTACCTAGGTCTTCAGCGGTATCTTGGTTTCTCTCTAGGCTGTGATGGAGTCTGAAATGAAGTTTGACAGGGACCATGATGGGCTCATTGAGAATGGAGGCTACGCAGACCAGACCTATGATGCATGGGTCACCACAGGGCCCAGGTTGGAGGGTAGGGGTTTCTAGGAGGCCTGAGGTGGGGAACTGGGCACCAAGGGATTGTAGGGCTCAAGAATCACTCATTGTCTGTTAAATTGCCTGGGAGTGGCTGGGGCTGCCAGTCTGATATCCAACCCATGTCCCTGACCAGTGCTTACTGTGGAGGGCTGTGGCTGGCAGCTGTGGCTGTGATGGTTCAGATGGCTGCTCTGTGTCGGGCACAGAACATGCAGGATAAGTTTTCTTCCATCCTCAGCCGGGGCAGAGAAGCCTATGAGAGACTGCTATGGAATGGTGAGTTGGGAGAATCTAAGGAGTCTTGAGGGCAGCCGTGAGGTCATCAGGAGCCTTATTTGCCCTTCCTCTATTCCAGGCCGCTATTACAACTACGATAGCAGCTCTCAGCCTTATTCTCGTAGCGTCATGTCTGACCAGTGTGCTGGACAGTGGTTCCTGAAGGCTTGTGGCCTAGGTGAAGGAGACACTGAGGTGAGAGAGACTAGAAGGAAGAGCCAGAGAGAAAGGTGGTTTTCCCTGAATGTGGGAATTAAGTTTGAGACCACGTCTCTGCCCTTGCCCCTCCAGGTGTTTCCTCCCCATCACGTGGTCCGTGCCCTCCAAACTATCTTCGAGCTCAATGTCCAGGCCTTTGCAGGGGGAGCCATGGGGGCTGTGAATGGAATGCAGCCCCATGGTGTCCCTGATAGATCCAGTGTACAGTCTGATGAAGTCTGGGTGGGTGTGGTCTATGGTCTAGCAGCCACCATGATCCAAGAGGTAATATACTCCCTTCCCCATCTGTATTTTGGCCCAGAAAACTTCTTTAGCCACCAAACTTCCTCAAGGCATACCAGTGCCATCTTATCTATGCATAAAGCCTCCCCCTTTCCCTGGTATGCATTACAGCTCCTGCCTTCAGGTTTCTTCAGCTACTGGGGGAGCTCCCTGTGAGCAAAGACTCTACTCTCTCCATCTGTCCAGCTGCAGTGACTATTCAGGGGGTGCCAAGTTGTATGTATGACTGCCAACTCTCCCCACAGGGCCTGACTTGGGAGGGCTTCCGGACAGCTGAAGGCTGCTACCGAACCGTGTGGGAACGCCTAGGCCTGGCCTTCCAGACCCCGGAGGCATACTGCCGGCAGCGGGTGTTCCGATCATTGGCGTACATGCGGCCACTGAGCATCTGGGCCATGCAGCTGGCCCTGCAACAGCAGCGGCACAAACAGGCCTCCAGGCCAATAGTCAAACAAGGCACAGGACTAAACACAGGGCCTACATTTGGACCAAAGGACGCCATGGCAAACCTGAGCCCAGAGTGAGCCCTCTGAACTGTGGGATGGAGGTGCTAACAGCCCAGCCTCTAGCCTGTCCTTTCCTCTTTGCCCCCGAACCTCCTGCAGCCCTGAGCCATCAGGACAATCATACCCCTTCCCTTCTCCCCACCAACTGTACCAGTAAAAGGGGGAGGGTTGAGGGTGACCCAGGTATCAGAATCACTTATTTATTTCTTTCCTCACTGCATGAAATGTTCAGAAAGGTCAGTTGATTTCCCCAGATCCATTCATGGGGCGATAGACACATGGGTACAAATAAAAGACCCAAAAAGCCAGTAAGTGTGGTGTGTGTGAGCTCTCAGACTTCCTAACAGAACACAGGAGCTGAGGCTAGCCCTCTCTCCATTTTTTGGACACAGAAAAAGGCTCTTGTTGCAGTCCTGCCATATCCTCTCATCTAGCTTGAGTATCTGACCTGCAGGATCACAGATGAAAAGCTAGGAGTAGGGAACCATCCCTCCTGTCTTGTGAGATTTGCCTGCAAAGTAAGGATGGGACCTAACTGAGGGGGCCCTGAGAAGAGGTCAAGCAATGGCCACTCCGGGGGAGGCTCTGTATTACGAGCCTGAGGCATGCAGCATAGCAGGCAAGAAGAGTTGCCAGGAGCCTGGAGTACATGGTCTGAGCTGTCCAGCAACTGGTTTTTGCTGTCCTTTGGCACCTCTGACTGCAAGGCAGGCAGTCCCAGCTGGTGAGCATCCTCACTGGGGAGGGCACGAAGCTGGCGGGACAACACTGAGGAGACAAAGAATCTTCAGAGGCCAATCCAGGCCCCTCCCCTAGCCCATGCCTTAAGAGATAGCCTTAAGCCTCTTACCTCTGTGCTCTGCTGGCAGGCTCCCCCTTGTGTCAGAGGAGTACATAGCAGGTATGAGAAGGAGGCAGAAGGAGAAGAGTAGGACCTAGAGCACAAGAAAAAAGATGAAGAAGGGCTCTTGATTGCATTCCTGCCCCCGCTGCCCAAAAAAAGGATCTCTCCTTCCATCACCGTCCTCACCAAGACACAGGTGCTGCTGGTGGTGGTTTTGTTTGACATCTCAATCACCATGGCCTGTAGTTTCTTCAGCTGACTTAGAAGGGATCTAGAAAAAGAGAGGGGACGGTGGTGAACACCCCCTGACCTGACACCCTGAGACACAATGAAATTCTCCTGTTAAGGCCACCTCTACCATCTCTGCACTGGATCCTCTCTTTTCATCCTATTTTTGCAAACGACTGCTTCTTCTCTGTGGATAAAATGCCTGAAGTTCCTCATTAAAACAAAAAAGCAAACAAAACAAAACAGAAGGTTTCTCTGTCTTGACTTAAACAATCTTTGGAAAATACCTCCAATAGTTCTCCACTGCCTGATCAGCTGTGCACATGACCCTCACCAGGCATTCTCTGTATTCTCTACCTTCTGGTTCAACTCCCCTGTATTAGGAATCCAGCCAAACAAAACTGTGTGTGTTCTCTCTGCACAGAAGGCTTTCCTCACTCAATCCCATCCCCTGGAACCCTAACTATTATCAAATACTAGCTGCCCCATGAAATCTTTCTAATTCTCCCTTTCTCTTTCTTGGGGCTTCTCCTTAGTTACTTATTCCCCATTCCTGTGAAATTCTTCGAATCAGAGGCCTAGCACCAAACCTTGAACTGGGAGCTGCCCAGTTAGAAATCAAGTGTAGAGCAGAGGAAAGAGAAAGCATTAGAAGGGATAAGAAAGGAATGGTTTGGAGGGTTGCTTACGAGTTCTGTTCCTCCAGTAGCTGTACTTTGTTCTGAAGCTCCAGATTCTGGGCTGTGCATCTCAAGACCCTGGGGGAAATAACAAGGATATGGGGATATGCCCTCTATCCTCCCCTAAAAAACCTAACACTTCCAACTATTTCTGTTGCCCCCACCCAAGTCCTCCCTTTTATACCTGCTCTCTAAAACTCCAACATACACCTCCTTCTTCCTGCGGCTCTCTTGAGCAGACTTTTTGTTCCGAATCTTCCTCCTCACTCGTTTCAAAAGTTGTTCCTCCATCTTAGAGAAGACAGGGAAAGGGATATCATTAGAGAAGTCTTAGGCCAAGGAGCTAAAAGGCAAGTGAGCTCAATCGTCTTCCCAATGCAGGACTCCCTTTGACAGCTTTCATGACCAACAGACATTCAGCTTCTGTCTGAATGCCTCCAAGGACCAGGTGTTAATACCCTCACAAACCTGACCATTTTTAACAATTTTATTAATTAAAAAAGAAGAATCTTCCTTATTTTGAACCAAAATCTGCTGCTTTATACTTTCTATCCATTGGACTTACCTTGTTATCTCTGGGGCCAAATAGAACAAACTCTGTTTAGCTATTTTAAGGCACTTGACATTTAGTCAAGAGTTTAAAAAAGAAAAAAATCTGGACAAAATTTTTAACTCATCATCTTTTCTCCTCAGGATAGACTGCATCCTCTTACTATCTGTTAATGATATGGGCTCAAAACTGGATACTAAAATGTGCTCTGGCCAGTATAAAAGGTAACAAGATAGTCACTTCTAGTGGCAACACTTCTATTGCTACAGCTTCCAAGTCCCATTCACTTTCCTTGTAGCTATGTCACACTGCTGACTCATCTTGGACTTTTAAGAAATTAAAATTCTGTAACCTTTCTGATTTCATCATAGTATCACAATACTCAGCTTGTGGAGTTGTCACTCATTGCTTGAAACTTAAATCTCAGGATTTTACATTTATTCTTGTTATACATTTTAGTTCAGCCCTGTTGAATTTTCTAAAGTAATTTTACCATTCAGCCAGAGGTGGATTACCATGAAGCCATTGATGTGTTGGGGCCCTTCATTTGCACAGTCCTTTCCAAGGGCTTATACTAATATTGCACTTGTAATTTTGAATTCATTTTCTTTAAACAGAACACCAAAACTTATAGAAACCCCACAAAACCAGGATCCGCCCTTGCATCTAGCATATTAACTAACTGTCCCGACGTCCTATTAGCAACGAATCTACTCAATCTGTCACCTCTGTCTTTTTCCAAATTATTGACATAAAATTAACAGAATTGGCCTACTTGGGATTCACAATCCCTGTTTGCCTTTGCTCCACCAATGGGAGCCTTACCTTGGTGAGAGGAAGCGTCCCAGGCAGAGTAAGCCCCTCCTTCTCCAACAGCCTCTTCTCCTCATCTGTCAGTATCAGCCTAGCAGTGTCCTAGGGTTATGAGGCGGCACAGTTGCATGGGGAAGTCAGAGAAGAATGGGGAATCCTGCCCCCATCGGTGCAATGTGAGAATAATCTTCCTGAGAATCAAGTCACGTACCTGCTCTGCCGGCTCCTCCACCCGCAGTGGAGTCACCTGGGCCCCCTCCTGTCCATAGCTGCCGCTCTCTGAAAAAGGAAAAATGTAATTAGCCAGGTCCATAAACCCTCTCCTCTCCGCAAACTTCTTTCAGACCCACCTAGATCCCTGGAGATGTATTCCTGTGGGACAGAGTAGGTGTGATCATGGAGGACAGGACAGGGGTTGGAGAAGCTGAGGACGTTCAACGATGCTGAGGAACACAGTAGGGAGCTCAGCAAATCCTCTACCTCCCCGTCGCTCGGTCCCTGCACAGGGTTCAAATTAACAGGCCTTGACTTATCACCATCTTCTGATCTCATGGACATCCCACGCCCTCCCTCCCCCCAGTCAGAACCCCCACTCACCTCAGAAAGCGGCAGCTCCCAGTCTAGTGGAGCCACCACAGCCTTGTCAGGCGCTGTCCACAAGTCTCCGCTTTCCTCTAGCAGGAAGTCCAGTAGGTCCTGGTCACCCGGGTCCAACGCCAGCTCCATTTGGGACATCCACGGAAAGGATGGGCAGAAGCACAGGGTTTCACCCCTCCGCCCGGCTCCAAGCCTTTAGGCCCTGGCCCGCCCCCCAGTACGACTGTCGGTCTCCGTTACCTCTCACTGGCCCTCTTCCGCCGGGCTTCCCTGCTAGGGCATGGAGGTCACTCTCAAGCCGGTCTTGTCTTCCAGACTCAGTTCGCCTCATCCTCCAACACAACACAAGTGACGCACCCGGTCCCACGGCATTTTGGGACTTGCAGTTCCTTCCAACTCGGAAGTGGCCTCTGGGCCGCGCCACGTCCTGGGGACTATGCAAATAGAGGGGACGTCCCTGCTGCCTACTCACACCCTGAGGGCGGGGATTCTGGAGATCCCGCTCCGCCTTCGCCCCAAGCTAGAAAAAGGAAGAAGTAGAGACTAAAAGGGAACACGGGCGTAGTTCGGCGTTCCAACGTTGTCTCCGGATTGCGCCGCACCCTTGCTTCCTGCCGGGGAGGGGCTGCCGGTCTTCGGCGGGCTCCCGAGCATCGAGAGCAGGGGCCAGAGCAGCTTCCTGCTGTTCCCGCAACCATAGAGTGCGGACCCAGGGCGCCGCCCGCGGTGGGGGACGTTCCGGGGACGGAAGTGGCCGAGAGAGTGTCGAAGGGAGGGCGAGGCCGGAGCCGGAGAGCGACCCGGAGAAAGAGCGGGTTAGCGGGCCGGCGGGCGGGGCACAGAGACGGGCAGCTAAGGTAGGCCGGACCGGGCCGAGCTGGAGCCTCAGGGTGGGGTCGCGGGGCCCGGCCCGTGCGGTGGGCGGTGGGCGGGCGGGGAGCCCGACTTTCCTGCGTGTCTTGTTGCGGTCCTGTTGGAGAGGTCAGCGTCCAGTGTACCTCGGCTTGGACTCTGAGTGAAGTAGGCCGTCTTGCGGGAGACAGGCCCTTCCTGGGAGCAGGCCTTTGCCTGACATAGGTTTTGGGGAGGGTAAGGAGTGAGGTGGCCGTGAGGCGCAGGGAGGGGATGAACTTCAGTGTTAGCTGATCGTGGGTATGTGGGTAGGAAAGCTTTGGGTGCATTTAGGATTAGGTGGGGTTGGGTTAGGACTCAGGAGTCGCTTTAGCAGTTGTAAAGCCGGGTTTTAGATTTAAGAGTTATTAGTGTGTCAGGTTCGTCTTGTGTAGGGAAGATTTGCATTACAGTCATTATTTTGATTTCTGGGATGGCCAGGATAAGTCAAATTAGAGTTCAGGGTCAGGTTAAGGGTCAACAACAGGAATTAGGTTAAAAGTCTGTTTTAGGGATTAAAGACTGTTGGCATGGTCAGTATTCAAGATAAACAGTGAAAGGATGAGTTAGGAATCAAGTTACAAATGAGCTTTAGACATAAGGTTCAATATTTAGGGTTAAAGTCAGGGAATTTGGTGGTAAAGGTACAACTTAGGTCAGTATTAAGGATCAGGGATTGGATGGGTCTCTGCTAGGAAAGGGATGAGTGTCAAAGCCAGTACTGGGAATTGGGAAACAAATGAGAGTCAGGGTAAATGTTAGGAATTGGGGCCAGCTTTAGGGGTTGTGTTTGAGGCCAGCATAGTTGACCTCGAGCAAGTAAAATTCCTAGGGGTTGACAGTAGATAAATGCCCTTGTTTTGTTGGGAAGGCCCTTATTCTTATGTAGTCAGATGACTAATTTCAGGCTAGGGTGCTGGAGTTAAACTAGAATTGCAGCCATATGGGATTCCAGCTTTTTCATTTCACTCTCTAAGCCTGAGGCTTTTGCTGTGGCCTCTACAGTTAGGAGGCAGGGATTCTAGACCATGTTGTTTATAAAATGGGAGGTGAGAAATGCATAGGGACCCAGGAGATGTACAAGGCCTAGTCATAAGTGGGGGACTGCCTAGAGAAGAGGGGACTAGTGAATAAGGGGGAAGTCAACCAAGGAAACACTGTTAACATGGAAGAAGGGGATGACTGAATCCCCTGAAAGTTTAGCCCCACTGCCTCCCTTTTCCCTCATTCTCTAGATGTTAAACCCTCCTTTCCAACTGTCATCCCTGACTCTGCATTTCACACCCTTCCTGCCTACCCCCTTACAGAATACTTTCCTGGCCGTTAACTCTTCCATGTTGTTCATCTTCATATCATCCATTCCTATCCTCAGTTCTGCCTCCCCACCCACCCCTTAATTCACACATCCTACCTTAATTTGCCCTCACCAAAATCTGAGCTTTCCCACATTTCAAAGCACACTCCTACCATTTTCACCCACTCATACACCTGCATCCCACCATCTGGTCATCTGCTGAGTACCATACTCCCAGCCCCTGCTATGTGCCATCCCCTAGTTCTAAACCTCTCTTAATTTCTTGATCCAGTTATGGATCCCCTTCCCCCACTCCCCAAAGAAAAGAGGAAATGAGACCCAAAGAGGAAACTGGGTCTTGCTGATCCCACGCCCAGCCAGGCCACTGACCACACCCCCATTTCACTCCCAGTCTGACCCTGACACTGACCACAGCACTATCCCCTACTCAGCCTGACCCAGTCACTCATCCCCCTCATCTCCACCCCACCCCAACTTCAGCTTTACTTAGACACTGCCAATGTCCCTTTATTCCCCCACCCCTACTCAAGCCCAATTTAGCCACTGACCATCTCTTCTCAACTCCCTGTAGCCTGACCTGGCCTGTGACCTCACTCTATCATTCCTTTAGTCATCATCCATATAAATGACTCCTCTCCTTCCCCCAGCCTGATCTAGTGACTGGTCATATATGTATTTTTTGCCATCATCATCAGTACCATTGTCCCCAGCCTTTTTCTATACCCCATCTTCTCCATTCCCAGCTTGATACAGTCACTAACCCCACGGCATCTGCCACTGTGTGGCTACTAATCATATACCCATCTCCTTTTCCCCACAGCCTCACCACTTCCCCTAACCACAGCCTCATCCTCACATTCTGAGCCCAACCGGATCCTTTCCTCCCTTCCCAATTCCTTGCTTAAACTCAAGCTGTCCCTGCCACTAAGTGGCTATTGATGATAAGAAGCTATGGGACCCTAGCCTGACTTTAAGCTCTGGTCCCTGAGGGTTGACAGAACAGATTGTCATCAGGTCTTATCAGTTCTACCTCTTAAAATTTCCTCTGAATGACATTTCCTCTCCACCGTTCTAGTTCTAACTCCATTACCTCTGACTTGTACTAATACAGTATTCTTCTAACTAATCTCCAAGGTAACTGCCAGAATTATTTTCCTAAAAGCCAGTTCTAATTATGTCTCTATTCTCCTCAAAGACTCCCTTGGCCTCCTGTTGCCCTCCAGTAGGTAAAATTCCTCATACTCCTCTAACCTTCCCTTGCCTTTCCATCCTAACCCTGACTTCCCCACCACTGCTCCCTTCCAGGTACCCTGTGCTTCAGCCAGCCTGCCTGCTTACTTCCCTGAATGCTCCTCCACGATTTCCTGCTTCTCCACCTTTGCTTATGCTATTCTCTCTGCCTGGAATGAATGCTACCCCTGACTCCTCTCCAGCTGGCTGGTGTAGTGGAGAGATCTTGGGCTTTGGAGTCAAAGAGACCTGAGTTCGGATCCTGGCTTCACAACTTATTATTTGGACAAGTACTTTTTAACTTCTTTGAGCCTCAGTTTTCTAATCTGTAAAAATGGAAATGATGACACCTACCTTGCAGGGTTGTTGTAAGGATTAAATGAAAGTATGTATACAATGCAATTGACAAAGAGTCAATAAATGGCAGATCATTATTATTTCTTATTATCTTTATTTTTTTAAATTATAACCTGAAATGATAACCCTCATGGAGACTTTTTGGTCCCCCTTCCCTAACCTAAAGAGAGATCTCCTCTGATTACACACCCGTTTGGCCCTTATTACAGCCTGCTCTCCCCTCTATTGTAATTCCATATTTAGCTTATCCATTCATCTGGGGGACTAGGAGCCCTTTGAAGGCAAAGGCTAGGTCTTACCGATCTGGGTTCCCAGGCCCTAAAAGTTTGGCCCAGGGCCTTGCCCACAACAGGCCTTCAAGGAATGCTTGCTGGGTGAATGGAGGGAGAATGTCTACATAATGGAAGGAGAAACATTAGGGGTGGGGCATTGAAGCACAGGGTGCTGTGCTTGTGATAGAAGTGTATTTGTGGGGAAGCCTTGTTTGTGGGATGGAGTCCCTGCAAGAAGATAATGCAGTCCTGACAGGATCTGTGTATTGGCTGTGTGACTGAGATAACATGTTTGTAGAGACTGTGTAGGTAGTTCTGTGGGAAAGAGCTCTGTGCATAGGCTGGGGTGCATTTGGGGAGAATGAATGTGCATACAGGTATAGAGGGGCTGTGTTGGTAGAAGTCAGGTCCAGCTCTTCAGCTGCCCAGTCCAGCCCTAAATGAGCCTCCAGCAGCCAGAGGCCGGATATGTCAGTCTCACCCACAAACCCTCCTCCCCCCTCCCCGCGGTTACGGACTCAGAGGCCAAATTTGGTAACAGACTGAGTGTTACTCCCCCAACCCTCTTACATTCTGACTGCCTTCAGCTTTCTCTCTCCTTTTGTTCCTCTCTGTAACTCCCAATCTTTCTGCAGTCCCCTCTGTGGATATCTGCTCTGAATATATTCTCCAGGTACCCCAAATTCCTTAGCCCCAGTACACTTACATTCCATTCCTTGCTGGGATTTGACCTCCTGTCCTCCATTCCCCCCCTCAATTGCCCAACTCCTCTGGAATGCATCTCAGGAATGTATTGAGGGAGGAGGAGTTCCCTGGGAGGGGGGACATAGGGGGAATGTTGCTGTTCCATAAAACATGATGGAAAGGGGAGCAAAGTTCTGAGGCCAGTGCAGTAACTGGATAGCTTCTACTCATATTTCCAGGGCCTTGTTCTTTGCTACCACTACCCCCAATTCACTGACCAATTCCTCGCCTCCCCTCACCCTCTGGTAGCTGTGTGGACATTCTCTCAGAACCAGCCTGGGAGTAGGGTAGGCATGACTCAACTCCCTTATCGGGGTCTCACCAGATACTTCCGTGCTTGAGGAAGAAGGGGGTGTCCATATGTCCGGAGGAAATGGGGGGAGACATGAAATTTTAGCTTAAGGTGAAGGGTCCTTTCAGTCCCGCTCTTAGCTCCTTGGACTCTTCCAGCTTCTCTGACCTTACAGCCATCATTCTTTCGTGGTCAGCCACCCCACGGCCAGGTCTGTCCAGCTATTGGGAGAGGTACCTCAGCAATGGGGAGGGAGCAGAGAGCTGGAACCGATGATGAGACTGGGAGGGTCCTGTCTTGTTTGGGAGTAAAGATAGAGAACAAGCTGTGGTTCTTCTCTTTTGAGACTCTGGACTGTTTCTAAGTTCAGAAATGGTATATCAGCCACTGGGTATCAGGCTCCTGATCTAGACCTTTCTCAAATCTGCCTCTCCTGTTTCTACCTAGATTTTTGGTTCATCCCACCCCATCTCTCCTAACCTCTTCACCCTCCACCCTTTCTCAACTTCCTTGCTTCTCAAATGCCTTTTGTATCCTAACACACACACACACACACACACCCCGCCTGTTTCCCAACCTTTCCCTAGTCCTGCTCTTCCCCCCTTGGGGCTTACAGTTTGCCAGGAAAACGGTCAGCCTGGGTTTGCTCATTCTCTTAGTTAAGAGAGACCCAGTCCCTGGACCACGCTGGGGCACATCATCAGCTGCCAGGCAGACTTGTCCTCTTGCAGCCTGTGCGCCACCTGCTGCCTCCACTGGTTCCTCCAGCCCACAGAGAGGTTGTACTAGAAGGGTGGAAGAAGGCAGGGGAGGGCTAGTATCCTGAGCTGCACTGAAAACGCTGTCAGGGAAAGCAGCTGAGATGGAGGGCAGACTTTGAAACAGACTTGCTGAAAAGGTGGGAGCATAGGAGGAATTGTACTGAAGACTGAATAGTAACTTGGTGACTTAGAAGGAGCAAGGATGAGTTAGAAGGACTGGATGCTTTCTCTGATTTGTCTTGAAGCTTTTTCTTCTCCTCACAGAGCCTGTTTCCCCTTCTACAAAACCGAAACGTTAACTAAATGACTTCTGAGATCCCTGAGAGCTAAAGAGGCAATTCTAGCTTGACTGCCAGGGAAGCCAAATTCAGAGCTAGGCTCTTTGGGGAGGCTCCCAACATCTCAGGTTAGAGGAAAGCTGGGGCAAGAATGGACCTGGATATCTTAAACAGCCAGTATTTGGTTTCCCTGCCAGGCTAGCTAGAGTCTGTTTGCAGGCTTCAAGAGCCCTTGGGAATTATCTAATAACGTCTTCATTTTGCAGAGGAGTCTGAAGCTATGACAGGGAAGGTCACGTGATGAGTCAGGGCAGAGCTCTGAAAATCCCAGACAGGGAAGAACCAGCAGAACACAGTAGGAAACAAAGAGAGAAAAGACTGAACCAGGAAAAGAAGAAAACAATGCAGGGGCAGGGCTAGGAAAAGAGGTGACCAGGGACAAGGAGCAAGAGAGACTCTTGGAAGAAAGAAAGGAGGTACAAATTCTAGTGGTAGGAGCCGGGCAGCATCCTCAGGTAACGATGCATTTCAGACCTGCTATTGTACCTTGCAGATTTGCCTGTCCCTCAAATGTCTTAAATGGTCAGGACCAGTTGTTTTGATGTAAATAATCTTTCACTCTTTAAAATTCTTAAATAAGACAAAAACAACCTTATTACTCTCTGCTTTGGTGACCCTTTTTAAAGTACCCCTCCCTGGGACTCCACCATCTGGGTGGCCTGTTCTTTTCCAATGAGAGTGTATTCTATATGCTAATGCCCTGATGCCACGGGCCAGGTATAGCCAGGCTGGAGAGGAAAAGCTGCCACCATGGTTGCACTTTCGCTAAAGATCAGCATTGGGAACGTGGTGAAGACGATGCAGTTTGAGCCGTCTACCATGGTGTACGACGCCTGCCGCATGATTCGAGAGCGGATTCCAGAGGCCCTGGCTGGCCCTCGTGAGTCTGACTACCCAGGTGGCTGGGGTGGGAGGCACAGTCTCTTCTCCTCCCCATGTTCTTAGCCTTGGGGATGACCCCGTTGTCCCCTAAGGCTACTCACCTCTTAGGTCTGAGCTCCATGGTTCCCTCCTTCCCTTTAGGCCCAAGGTCATGGGAGAAATTGTAAGGGGCAGTGGTGTGGCTCTTTAGCCACATTGGAGTCTTCATAAGTCTAAGGTGATCCATCTTCTTTTAGCCAGCGACTTTGGGCTGTTTCTGTCAGATGATGACCCCAAAAAGGGTATATGGCTGGAGGCTGGGAAAGCTTTGGATTACTACATGCTCCGAAATGGGGTGAGTATCCCTTCATCAAGGACCACCAGCATCATCTTCCATTAGCTTCTCCTGTTCCACCACCTATTGATATTTTTAGCACCTATGACTGTTGCCTCTTACCCCTCCCCATGCTTTCTTTCTATTACAGGCAGTCATGATACCCTGTCTTTGAATGAACCACCATAGTGCTCCTTTCAGAAATCCACTTTCCTCCCCTCTGGCTATGTAAAAAGGAAATAATACCCCTACCTTAAAGTGGCCCCTATCTGCTTCTCCTGTCCCAACAGGATACCATGGAGTACAGGAAGAAACAGAGACCCCTGAAGATCCGTATGCTAGATGGCACTGTGAAGACTGTCATGGTGGATGACTCCAAGACTGTCACTGACATGCTCATGACCATTTGTGCACGCATTGGTAAGGGGTCTTGGGAGGGCTGAGGGCCTGGGCCAGAGGCTTCCACTTGGCCAGAAGACATGGTTGCAGTGCCTGAGAAGCTAGCAAACCACTCCCCTCCCCTGCCCAGGTATCACCAACCATGATGAATACTCACTGGTTCGAGAGCTGATGGAAGAGAAAAAGGAGGAGGTGACAGGGACCTTACGAAAGGATAAGACACTGCTTCGAGATGAAAAGAAGATGGAGAAACTAAAGCAGAAACTGCACACGGATGATGAGTGTAAGCAGAACTAGAAAAAAGAGGGCTTTGGAAACGGGCAGGGTGGAAAGGACAGCCATCTGTTCGTTATTTATACAGGCACTGTTTTATGCTTTCTTTATTACCTCAGTAATAAAGTCCTGCACTCAGGGAACTTACATTTTAGCGAGAGGAGGTAGGAAATGAAGAAATAAACAAAAACTCAGAGACCAGACAGCACAGGGCCCATGGAGGTTTGGCATTGATGGGACTCTCTATGTCCCAGTGAACTGGCTGGACCATGGCCGGACACTGAGGGAGCAGGGAGTGGAGGAGCATGAGACGCTACTGCTGCGGAGGAAGTTCTTCTACTCAGACCAGAACGTGGATTCCCGGGACCCCGTACAGCTGAACCTTCTTTATGTGCAGGTATGGAGGGGACTTGGCTGGGGTGGGGCAGATAGGGAGAGGGGACAAAAGCAAAGTAAGGGATATCCCTGCACCCACACATAGCATCCACCTCCTTTCCCTGTGTTCTCCAGGCACGAGATGACATCCTGAATGGCTCCCACCCTGTCTCCTTCGACAAGGCCTGTGAGTTTGCTGGCTTCCAGTGCCAGATACAGTTTGGGCCCCACAACGAGCAGAAGCACAAGGCTGGTTTCCTTGAGTGAGTGACCCACATCCTATACCCTGCCAAGGCCCAGGACTCCCTGCCATTGTGACCCCCAACAGGCCTGTCTCCATCCCAGGCCTTCTCCCATATTTCCTCTTCCTAGATTCCTGGGTTTGACCCACATAGGTACCCATTTAGCTGCTATCATCTATTTGTCTCCTCACTGGCCCCATGTGGAATATGAATGTAGTTCAGTATCTCTGCCACACTCACACACCTGAAGCAAGCATGTAACTTATTTTGAGATCCTTGGCCGGGCGCAGTGGCTCATGCCTATAATCCTAGCACTCTGGGAGGCCAAGGCGGGCGCATTGTTGAGCTCAGAAGTTTGAGACCAGCCTGAGCAATAGCAAGACCCTGTCTCTACCAAAAATAGAAATATTAGCTGGGCATGGTGTTGCATGCCTGTAGTACCAGCTACTCGGGAGGCTGAGGCAGAAGGATCGCTTGAGCCCAGGAGTTTGAGGTTGCTGTGAGCTAGGCTGACGCCACAGCACTCTAGCTGGGACAACAGAGTGAGACTCTGTCTCAAAAAAAAAGGAGATTCTCTGAAGAATTTTGCTGTAGTAGCCAGAGGGAAATGGCAAAATTGTCCTTGTAGGGAACATTAGGTTAAAAATTTTCACAAGTCTCAGTCACTGGTGTTTCTCAGAATGCATAGAGTTTGGTGTGGCTTTCTCAGCTTCCTCAGTGCAGGATCATCCTAGAGAGCTCTTTCTCCTCTTGGTTCCCTGAAATGTTGCTCTAGACCCTTTTTGCCTCAGGGGCTAAGCCTCTGACTTAAGTTCCCTCAGTCCCCTTCCCTGCAGTGAGAGACATAGGTCACATTCAAGAGCTGATGCTAAGTCACCTCTGCTTCAGAAGACAGTCCAGGCTCTGTTCCCTCAGAGTCTTCCTTCTCCCCAAAGATAACACAGTCCCAGACATTTCCTCACACCCTTAGGCCCACAGTTCATGGCCCACATGTCCCCAATGCTGTCCACTACATGTTGACCCTCCCTTTTCTGGTGTAGCCTGAAGGACTTCCTGCCCAAGGAGTATGTGAAGCAGAAGGGAGAGCGTAAAATCTTCCAGGTGAATGGGGGCAGGGGAAAGTGTTTGGGATGACCCATGAGCTTTGCTGCTTAATCCTACTGTCTGAATGGACCCCCGCATCCTCCCCATTTCCCCCCACCCTGCTTCTCCCCACCAAGCTCTTCTCCTACCTCTCCTGTGCCAAGAAAGCAGAAGACTTGGGCTTTTAGTCTCAGCTCCATTACTGCTTTCACTGTGGGATTCAATTCAATATTCTTGTTTTCTTTCTTTTACCTGTAATGTGGGTAAATCCTGTATAGAATTGATAGGAGAATCAAATGAGGTAGTGTACCTGAAATTACCATGGAAGTATAGTTTTTGTCCAGATGTAAGCTCTTGTCCCCACTCTTTGAATACTCTGGCCAAAAGACCTTGTCACTGACCTACTTCTGAACTATCTGTTTATATCCCCAGGATGTCTGCAAGTTCCTTAACTGTATCCCTTGAATCGTCGCTTCTGCATCTCCCTGATCAGCCCCCACCCCATCACCCTCTCATTTCTCATATCTTGCACTCCTGAACCTTTTCTTTCCTGTGTCTCCATAATACTCATTACGGTTAACATCCCATCTTACTCCTTAGCTGTGATGTTATCCCCATATTTTGCTAAATTCTTCTCTATTTCATGCTCTAAGGCACACAAGAATTGTGGGCAGATGAGTGAGATTGAGGCCAAGGTCCGCTACGTGAAGCTAGCCCGTTCCCTCAAGACTTATGGCGTCTCCTTCTTCCTGGTGAAGGTGGGTTACCAACCCTTCTCTGCCCTCCTTATTTCCTGCTCTTGCTCTTTCCTATCTCTCTGAAAGTCTCTGACCCTGCCTTTAGTCACATTTCCATCATTCCCTAAGAGTCCCATTTTCTATCCTGCTCTGACCTCATGCGAACCTGTCACCACCTCCCTACCACGTGATTTCCCTTGTCCTGAACCCATCTGTGGACACCCTAGTTTAGCCCTCTGGCCTCCTCAGTATCCCCGTGTGGTCAAGAGCTGGTCTGATCATTAGCCTCTTGTTCGACCTTTGACCTGTAACACCAGCATCAACCTCTGCCTCACAGGAAAAAATGAAAGGGAAGAACAAGCTAGTTCCCAGGCTTCTGGGCATCACTAAGGAGTGTGTGATGCGAGTAGACGAGAAGACCAAGGAGGTGATCCAGGAATGGAACCTCACCAACATCAAACGCTGGGCTGCCTCTCCCAAGAGCTTTACCCTGGTGAGTCTGGCTGCCAACCAGAAAGTGCTTTGGGATCTTCAGAGAAGGGGCAGCTGCAGAGGTCTTTCCCCCTCACTTGGGGAAGGTGCACTGAGCATGATTCTAGAAAAAAGAACTTTGGAACTGCTGTAGAAAGGTGGAGGTTAGAGTAGATGGAGAAACTTCCTTGTAGAGAGTAATGATGCTTAAATGGAACAGGTGATGGACTTATTCTTTAAAGTCAATAGCACAAAAATATAACCAGCAAGCTGAGATCACAGAAATAGAGTCCAGCGGCCTAATCATAGCTCACTGCAGCCTCAAACTCCTGGGCTCGAGCAATCTTGCCTCAGCCTCCTGAGTAGCTGGGACTGTAGGCATGTACCACCACACCTGGCTAATTTTTCCACTTCATGGGAATTCTTGGGGAGAAAAAAGAGAAAGGTGATAGAAAGACAGACCTCCCCTCTTTTAGCAGCAACCATAAACAATAGTTTTTTCCCCTCTGGCTTTATATTTTCGGGTTGTGAATTGAAAACTGATACCAACTTGATGAAATGTCCCAATGATAGAAATTAGAGTAAATGCCATTTTTCCATTTTGTGTATTGGTACCAACCTTCTAGTGTGATCATGTAATGACAAATGTTATGCCCTCCCAATTTTATCATTGGGGTAAACGTAAAAAAGATTTCCCAAATGGCATGCATTTGAAACTGTAGCATAAAAGCCATTCCTCAGAAATAAAACATTTCCGTATAAGGAAGAAAATAAAGAAATAGGAGGTTGAAGAAAGATGGGCATCTTCCTAAGGGCTGGCATGGGAAGGTACCCTCATCAGCTTGACCTTGGGCCTCCCATCCTACCCATTTCCATCCTGCGTAGATTCAGGCTTTCCTGCTGAGTGTCCCCCTGTCACCCTAGGATTTCGGGGATTACCAAGATGGCTACTATTCAGTACAGACGACTGAAGGGGAACAGATTGCACAGCTCATTGCTGGCTACATCGATATCATCCTTAAGAAGGTGAGCCTTCTCCATCTTCCCTTACCCTCTCCCTGAGCCAAGCCTTTAGAAATGGACACTCAGGTTCTGGAAAATGGCTGATTATGGAAAGAAGAGGCCATCTTTTCCCACTTCCCTCTTCTTTAACTGCCCCAACTCTCATTCTTTTTTTCTTCCTACAGAAAAAAAGCAAGGATCACTTTGGGCTGGAGGGAGACGAGGAGTCTACTATGCTGGAGGACTCTGTGTCCCCCAAAAAGTATGAAGGGAGTTGATCTGGCTCCATCCCTTGGGGATAGAAAAGGCAAAGCTGGACTTCAAGGACTGCTGGGGGGTGGGAAATCCTCAGGATGGTTCTTGAACTGGTCACAGGCTTTAATGAGACCTCACACACCTGCAAAGGTAGTGTGACTGGGTGGGAGGGGTAGAGAAGAGGAATACTCTGAGTGCTCCACAGTCTGCCCCCTCTCTAGGTCAACAGTCCTTCAGCAGCAGTATAACCGGGTGGGGAAAGTGGAGCATGGCTCTGTGGCCCTGCCTGCCATCATGCGCTCTGGAGCCTCTGGTCCTGAGAATTTCCAGGTGGGCAGCATGCCCCCTGCCCAGCAGCAGATTACCAGTGGCCAGATGCACCGAGGACACATGCCTCCTTTGGTAAGAGTGCCCCTAATTCCACCCACCACAGTGCTCTTCTCCCACCCTCGGCTGGGCCTCACCGGGAATTAGGCAGTCTTTTGCCTTGTCCCTATTTGTATTCCTCTCTCCGGCCTCTGGTTCTGGTTTTACCTTCTCTTTCCTCTAAATGTTTCTTCCCCCTTGTGTTTTAGACTTCAGCCCAGCAGGCACTCACTGGCACCATCAACTCCAGCATGCAGGCTGTGCAGGCTGCCCAGGCCACCCTGGATGACTTTGACACTCTGCCCCCTCTCGGTCAGGATGCTGTGAGTATGGGATGGAGCAGAGGCTAGTGCTGCTGATGCTGGGACTCCAAGGGGTAGGGAGGATGGGATTAACCAAACCAGAGCAGATCCTGAGATTTTTTTCCTCTTTCTCTCAGGCCTCTAAGGCCTGGCGTAAGAACAAGATGGATGAATCAAAGCATGAAATCCACTCCCAGGTAGATGCTATCACAGCTGGTACTGCCTCCGTGGTGAATCTGACGGCAGGTAGGCTGGATGCCATCCTGTGTGTGTGTCTTGTGGAGGGGGAGTGCGAGCATGCACAAGCATGCATGTGACTGGCTCTGTGTGACTGTACCTTGACTCATTATGGAAGAGTCTGGTGTGTATGTCTCTCTCTCAGGACACGAGTGTGACTAATGGGTATGACAGTGTTCCTTCCCCAGCCCATCACCTAGCCTGCTCTGTCTCTCATGCTCCTCTTCTCCCTTTTCCCCTCAGGGGATCCTGCAGAGACAGACTATACTGCAGTGGGCTGTGCAGTCACCACTATCTCCTCCAACCTGACGGAGATGTCCCGAGGGGTGAAGCTGCTGGCCGCCCTGCTGGAGGATGAAGGCGGCAGTGGCCGGCCCCTGCTGCAGGCAGCAAAGGGCCTCGCGGGGGCAGTGTCAGAACTGCTGCGTAGTGCCCAGCCAGCTAGTGCTGAGGTCAGGGGCCACGGGGTTGGGGTGAGGGTGGAGACAGGGTTCAAGCCCATAGAGAAGGGGCAATCCAAGTTGCAGGATGAAAGTGTGGGACCTGTGGACCTATGAGACCCATAGGGGCTAGGCAGCTTCTGACTGGTGTTCACTCTCCACAGCCCCGTCAGAACCTGCTGCAAGCAGCTGGGAACGTGGGCCAGGCCAGTGGGGAGCTGTTGCAGCAAATTGGGGAAAGTGATACTGACCCCCAGTTCCAGGTTGGTGACTTACCCAACCCCCAGAACCCTAGTTTCTAGGAAGTAACCTCTGATCCTGAATCCAGCTCCTTGTCCCTGCTTCTGTGAATTGACCCCTCAAAACCAACCTGAACCTCTGTTTCCAGGGGATGACACTGGGAACCTCCAGTCTCTCTTTTAGGGGTGAGAATTCAGAACCCCTGAGTCCAAACTTAACCTGTCAGTGTACTCTTGGCCCTCACTGATGATATTCTTTAGTCTCTTGTCATCTCTTCCCTATCTTCCCTGTACATAGCCCTTGCCCTAACTTGAAGACATTTTGACACCCCAGTGCTTTAGACTATGCCACCCTGAGGACAGCATTACTCTAGTTCTCTCCCTTCCCCACCCCATGGCAATTTCCTCAGCTGACTTTTCATCCTGGATTTCCCATGCAGATATGTGCTCCCAGAGGGGCTGGGGTTCGATCTCCCCCCGATTCCCCTACGGTAACGGCCTCTGGCCTGGGCCTTCCCAGCTTTGTCCTCTCTGAGCCGCATACACTCGCTTCTGTACTTTTCCCCTGGCCTCCTGAGGGAGCAGAACTTGATGGGAGGTGGGGAGGCCTGGCAAAGGCAGGGTCTGAGAAATGGGATCAGGTAGGGTACTATAGGGACTTGATCCCAAGATGCCAAGATGACCACTTCCACACCACGATTGAGACAAAATGGAGAGAGGAAGCTGGTGGGAGGGATCCTAAAAGGTACTTCCTCTCTCCATCCCATTGTAACAGCACTAACCCTTCCTCCCCATCATCGTCCGAGTGTATCCGCCTCACGCATTTCTCCTTTGGTGTAGGCTTTCTTTCTCTTGGTGTGGGTTTATTCCTCGGTGTGGGTTCCGTCCTGCTGGGCACTCAGGGCAGGGGTTGGGATTGGTTCTGGTTGCTTCTGCATACACTGTCCTCTGATTGGAGTCAATGGGAATAATGAAGCAGCTTATGCCTCTGAGAAGTATCTATGAATCCCAAGCCTTATCTCAGGTCATGCTAACTGCTGTTTTCTCACAGGACATGCTAATGCAACTTGCCAAGGCAGTGGCAAGTGCCGCAGCTGCCCTGGTCCTTAAGGCTAAGAGCGTGGCCCAGAGAACAGAGGATCCAGGGCTTCAGACCCAAGTTATTGCTGCAGCAACACAGTGTGCTCTGTCCACTTCCCAACTGGTGGCCTGCACCAAGGTGAGTCCCAAAGGTTGCTCTAGCCTGTGCCAAGGGGTGATAGTGCCACACACACGTGCACCTCTCATTTTATTCTTTCTTTATTCCTTGAGACCTCTCTCCAGAGACCTCATCACCCATACTGATGGGTGTTGTAGGCACCACAAACATTCCACCTCATTACTCCTTTCCCTTGCCCAAATCTCTGAGGCTCAGTTTGCCCACAGGTGGTGGCACCTACAATCAGCTCACCTGTCTGCCAAGAACAGCTGGTGGAGGCCGGACGACTGGTGGCCAAAGCTGTGGAGGGCTGCGTGTCTGCCTCCCAGGCAGCTACAGAGGATGGGCAGCTGTTGCGAGGGGTAGGAGCAGCAGCTACAGCTGTCACTCAGGCCCTGAACGAGCTGCTGCAGCACGTGAAGGCCCATGCCACAGGAGCTGGGCCTGCTGGCCGTTACGACCAGGCCACCGACACCATCCTTACTGTCACTGAGAACATCTTCAGCTCCATGGGTGATGCGGGTAAGGACAACCACTCCCAGGAAGACAGAGAACCCCAAAAAGGTTTCCCAAGCCTGTTGGACATAGCCTTGCAAACCCAACCACTTCTCCCCTAAGGACTCTACACAGTGTGGGCTTACCATCCACACAGCCAAAGGCTCATTGTTTAATCTCCCTGAAACCTCTGCTTCTCCATCTGCATGGTAGGAATTTAAGCTCCACTTTACCTTCCTTGGGGAGTTTAAAGAATATACCAAAGTATACACAAAAATATACGGGAAGTGGTGTGATTAAGAGATAGCCTTCCCAGGGGGAGGGGGGAAAGGGCATTTATTGAAACCTTAAAATCTGTATCCCCATAATATACCAAACAAAAGGCGGGGGAAAAAAAATAAAAATAAATCCACACACAAAAAAAAGAGATAGCCTTCCCTAATCCATCCCCTCCCTAAGCCTTCACAAAGAGTGTCTCATCTTCTCAAGACTATTTGCTGAAAATACCCACTGGAGACTGTCCTCTCTCCCATAAGTACCCATTGGGGAATCTGTTCTCCGAGATGCTAAACCTCAAAAATATAGCCCCAAAGAAATCACTAGAGAGCTTTTTCCAGTCTCTCTGTTGTCCCTAAAACACCCTATCTACCTTGTCTACACCACTTTCCCCCACCCTTGTCCCTGCCCTGACACCCTCTCACTGTCTCTGGCTCCTTCACCTGATTGTGCCCTGCACTCTCAGGGGAGATGGTGCGACAGGCCCGCATCCTGGCCCAAGCCACCTCTGACCTGGTCAATGCCATCAAGGCCGATGCTGAGGGGGAGAGTGATCTGGAGAACTCACGAAAGCTCTTAAGTGCTGCCAAGATCCTGGCTGATGCCACAGCCAAGATGGTGGAGGCTGCCAAGGTACAAAACTGCTGTGCACACCCCAGATCAGGCCCTGAAGGGAAGTAGAGAGGTCCAGATAGTCACCTTCATCTGATGGAGAGACCCAGGAAAATCAGAAATACAAAAAAATGAATATGGGGACACTCAGTAAGTAAATGAGGTCCACAGCTGCAGGCAGGTGGTGGCCCAGGCTTGGACCAGTGTGACTCCCAGAGTACTCTTAGACTGTGGCAGGCAGCCATATCCTTTTTCTTCCTTTAAGTCCAACGTCCGCTATCCTATTTTTCGCTATTTTGCTGCCACCACCTGCCTGAGATTCCCCTCCTTCCTGGTCTTTCCTGTGAACACACATAGGTATTCAGTCTCCAGGGTCTCTGCTGCTAGCAGTACAGGGAAAGACAAGGCAGTAGGATACCGAGACACAAGGGTGCAGAGGACCACCAGAAGGAAGCCCAAACGATTCCTCGGCCGCCTGGGCTCTGGGGCTCGTCAGTTTGTAGGAGTAAGCAGGTCCTGCGCTTTGGATTTCCTGAGATGCCTGCTCTAAATTAAGTCCTTTTCCCGGGGAGCCCACCTCACCCCTGCTCACCTGTGGTATCCTGTAGGAAGTGGGGAAGGAAACAAGACCCCTTCCCCAAGGAGGGGAGGAAGAAACAATTCCACCTCAAGGAGGGACTTCAGCTTCCCAGAGGGAATCCTGAGCTCCCAGAGGCTTACCCTGGTCTTCCTCAGGCAGCTCCTCTCCACAGTGATTACCTCTCCATGGGGCTGCTCAGAGATGACTTCAGGAAAACAAGTGAATTTTAAACAGAGTCTAGAGGGGTCAGAGAAGATCTGCAGGGAAGCTGGGTGATAACTCTTTCCACCTCTCTCAGGGAGCAGCTGCCCACCCCGACAGTGAGGAGCAGCAGCAGAGGCTTCGGGAGGCAGCTGAGGGGCTACGCATGGCCACCAACGCGGCTGCACAGAATGCCATCAAGAAGAAGCTGGTGCAGCGCCTGGAGGTGAGGCTGGAAAATTAACCAGCAGCAAGTGAGAGCATGGGGGCTGTGTAATGATGAACTGGGTGGGAGGTGTGGAGAGAGTCAGTTAATATTTCCTTGGGGGATGGCAAGGGCAAGGTAGGTAGGGAGTGGGCATGGGAGTGTCTGGGGCTTGTCCTGACTACTCTGTCCTCACAGCATGCAGCCAAGCAGGCTGCAGCCTCTGCCACACAGACCATCGCTGCAGCCCAACATGCAGCCTCCACCCCCAAAGCTTCTGCCGGCCCCCAGCCCCTGCTGGTGCAGAGCTGCAAGGTGAGACTCCATTAAGCATGTAGGGGTGGAAAGAGGGAGCCTTTCCCCCAGTCTGGGGAGGTGGCTCTTATGACATTTTTACCTACAGGCTGTGGCAGAGCAGATTCCACTGCTGGTGCAGGGCGTCCGAGGGAGCCAAGCGCAGCCTGACAGCCCCAGCGCTCAGCTAGCCCTCATTGCTGCCAGCCAGAGCTTCCTGCAGGCAAGGCACCCTCTCCCCACCTCTCAGAGCAGATTCTTCCCCTTTCTAAGACCCCTACATCTCCCAGAATTTGAATCTCTTCCAATAGCCTCTTTCCCAGGACTGAGCCCCAGTGCCTGCCATGTCCTGACTGTTGTCCATTCCTGTATCTGAGCCCAAAGGGAGGGTGGCACACTTCATCTGCCTGCCTATTCCCCAACAGCCAGGTGGAAAGATGGTGGCAGCCGCTAAGGCCTCAGTGCCAACAATTCAGGACCAGGCTTCGGCCATGCAGCTGAGTCAGTGTGCCAAGAACCTCGGCACTGCACTGGCTGAACTCCGTACTGCTGCCCAGAAGGTATGCAGCTCTGGCTTTGGAAGACGAGTGTGGAGTCCCAGTGTGGTGGGGAATCTGTACAGAATCACCTCAAACCGGGATGATTATATAAGTAGAGGCATCAGTAAGACACAGCAGGACCTTCTATACCCTGCTTCCCTTATCGTAGGCCCAGGAAGCATGTGGGCCTTTGGAGATGGATTCGGCACTGAGTGTGGTACAGAATCTGGAGAAGGACCTGCAGGAAGTGAAGGCAGCGGCCCGGGAGGGCAAGCTCAAACCCTTGCCTGGGGAGACAGTAAGTATTCTTACGATCTCATTCTTACTCAAATCCTAAAGTCTTCCATCCCAGCTGAGCCCCAGAGCTACTCAAACCTTCCTTTAAACTGCCAGTTGTCCCCAGGTACCTTCTCAAGTTCCCCCTCGTCACCTCCTTCCCCTGAGCCCGAGTCTTCCCCCTTCATCCTTAGATGGAGAAGTGTGCCCAGGACCTGGGCAACAGCACCAAAGCAGTGAGCTCCGCCATCGCCCAGCTGCTGGGAGAGGTTGCCCAGGGCAATGAGAATTATGCAGGTACGTAGGCAGAGGGCCAGCAATGGGGGTATGGTGAGGGAGGTGGGAAGGCAGAGCTGGATGAGGGACATCCAGGAGGGGAAATGCAGCTGACAGAGGAAGCCACTGGAATCAGGGCCTGGCAATGAAGGCACCCTTTCCCTTCCCTTCTACCTTTCCTTGTCTCCCCAGGTATCGCAGCTCGGGAAGTGGCAGGTGGGCTGCGGTCACTGGCTCAGGCCGCTAGGGGCGTAGCTGCGCTGACATCAGATCCTGCGGTGCAGGCCATTGTGCTTGACACAGCCAGTGATGTGCTGGACAAGGCCAGCAGCCTCATCGAGGAGGCAAAAAAGGCAGCTGGCCACCCAGGGGACCCTGAGAGCCAGCAGCGGCTTGCCCAGGTCAGCCATTACAAAAGGGTCACTCCCCCTCTCTCCCTCATGTCCCTTCCTAAGGCCCAGGGCCTCATGCACACTAACAGAGGGACGTCTTCTCAGATTGCTCTCTGGAGCACTTCTCTGGATTCTACCCTTGGTTCCCTCAGTCTTGGTAGAATGTCTCAGTTGGACTCTGGCATGGGCCTAGCTAAACAGCAAGCCTGGGGAAGTTTTTTTTTTTTTTTTTTTTTGAGACAGAGTCTCGCTTTGTTGTCCAGGCTAGAGTGAGTGCCGTGGCGTCAGCCTAGCTCACAGCAACCTCAAACTCCTGGGCTCGAGTGATCCTTCTGCCTCAGCCTCCCGAGTAGCTGGGACTACAGGCATGCGCCACCATGCCCAGCTAATTTTTTATATATATATATCAGTTGGCCAATTGATTTCTTTCTATTTATAGTAGAGACGGGGTCTCGCTCTTGCTCAGGCTGGTTTTGAACTCCTGACCTTGAGCAATCCGCCCGCCTCGGCCTCCCAAGAGCTAAGATTACAGGCGTGAGCCACAGCGCCCGGCCCAAGCCTGGGGAAGTTTAATCACTATCACTTGATACCCTAACCCCTCAGCCTGTTCACCCACAACACCCCGTTTCTTTTTTCACTTTCAGAGGCAGTAGAGCTAGTTACTTTCCATGTCCGATGTGTGGAGGGGACCTCCTAAATTGTTCACTTTAGCAACCCTGTCTCCATTCCCACTTCAGGTAGCTAAAGCAGTGACCCAGGCATTGAACCGCTGTGTCAGTTGCCTACCCGGCCAGCGAGATGTGGATAATGCCCTAAGAGCAGTCGGAGATGCCAGCAAGCGACTCCTGAGTGACAAGGTAGGAAGGCTGGGGAGCTGGAAGGGACACAGGAGTCAAAGAACTCCAAGCCTATCCTTCCCACCTCTAGTCTGCTCCTTTGAGCCTCACTACCCAGATTTGTCTCCTTTTACTACTCCCAGGCTATATGCCCACCCTCCCAGCTCTCTTTTACCAAATCTTCCTTTCATTATTCCCCATTCTTCCATCTGGCTCCTCTCTGACCATACAGCTTCCTCCCAGCACTGGGACATTTCAAGAAGCTCAGAGCCGGTTGAATGAAGCTGCTGCTGGGCTGAATCAGGCAGCCACTGAACTGGTGCAGGCCTCTCGGGGAACCCCACAGGACCTGGCTCGAGCCTCAGGTCGATTTGGACAGGACTTCAGCACCTTCCTGGAAGCTGGTGTGGAGATGGCAGGACAGGCTCCGGTATGAAGAGGCAGAGGGTCTGGTTGCATGGTCCCCATTGAGGGTTAAATAGGAGGTACCTGGGTGACCACAGAGTCCTAACCTGCTCCTGGCTCCTTGTCCTAGCAGTACTTGAGTGTCTGAGAAAGAAGATCCTTTTTAGAAACAGATAAGAAAGGACAGGACAATGTGTTGACCTTCTCACCTTCAACAGAGCCAGGAGGACCGAGCCCAGGTGGTGTCCAACTTGAAGGGCATCTCCATGTCTTCAAGCAAACTTCTTCTGGCTGCCAAGGCCCTATCCACAGACCCTGCTGCCCCCAACCTCAAGAGTCAACTGGCTGCAGCTGCCAGGTGAGTAGGAGCTGGGAAGCCCCGCCTAGAATGTGTGAGAGATACTGGGAAAGAGGCATTTCATGAGAGGTTCTGGCCTAGGAGCAGTTATAGGCAAAAGATAAATAGCTGGGGACTTCCCATGTACAAAGGACTCTGGAATGGTGACCTATTAACCCACCTTTCTGTCCCTCCCAGGGCAGTGACTGACAGCATCAATCAGCTCATCACCATGTGCACCCAGCAGGCACCTGGCCAGAAAGAGTGTGACAATGCCCTGCGGGAATTGGAGGTAGGCACTTGGTGGGCTGGTGGGGTAAAGGTTGAGGAAAGGGTTCTGGTTTGGGCTGAGGGAGGTGTCTTGGCTCTCACTTCACCCTCTGTGTATACAGACAGTCCGGGAACTCCTGGAGAACCCAGTCCAGCCCATCAATGACATGTCCTACTTTGGCTGCCTGGACAGTGTGATGGAGAACTCAAAGGCAAGTGTAGCCAGGAACTCAGGAGGGAAGAGGGCAGGAAGATGGAACTAATAAGATGCTGCTCTGAGGATATGCTCTGACTCTTCTGATATCCTCTGTTCTGTAGGTGCTGGGGGAAGCCATGACTGGCATCTCCCAGAATGCCAAGAATGGAAACCTGCCGGAGTTTGGGGAGGCCATTGCCACAGCCTCAAAAGCACTCTGCGGTTTCACCGAGGCAGCTGCACAGGTTATTTTCCTGAGATGGGTTCCTAAAACAGCCCTGCTTTCCCTACCCCATTTCCTCTCAGCATGTAGATAAATCAAGAAGTTTATGTTTACAAAGCCAACTCTATGGAAACTGGGTTCTTCCCCCTTTCTGAAATGGAGACATTTGTCAGAAATTATTGAGCACTAACAGTTCTGATCTCTGTAAACCCTGAACCCCAGGGGTTTGGTTATGATTACAGTGTCCAACCATGAGGCCTTCCTAGCCCTGGCTGTCTTGATATATACTAAATAACATACAGATTATTTTTTCCGTATAATCATTATTTTATTAAAATAGTATCAGTAACAAAATTTCCAGTTCCTTGAGTCATCACTTATCTTTGCCTTTTTCTACAATATGAAATATAAAACTACCTATTAGCTCTGAGAGTATTTTGCTTTGGTATATGAATCCTTAAACTAGCTTGAGAATTAGTCTCAGACTATTTCTCCCTGAAAGCCTACCATCCTATCCCTCAACCTCCTTGTTCCCTGTTACACTGGGTACCCTTCTCTATATGGCCTGACTTTTTAAAACCTCTTTGTTGTTTTTTTTGCTTGTTTTTCACTTATTTCTGGAAAAGGATAAAGAGGAAAAAGCAAAGCTACCATGTCTTAATTGAAGGATGAATCAAACATGATGGTCTTTCAGTCATAAAAATAGTTTTTTGGCAACTATTATACCTATCCTTTCCAAATCTCTGACACTTGGAGGTGCTGTAAATGTTAATTAGCCTAACAACCTTGATAGCATTAGAACTGTGTCTTTGAAAGAGGCTTTGCCTATCTGTGTGTGTGTTTATATATGGCTTTCAAACCTACAGTAAGCCATACTTTTTACCCTAAGACCCCAGACACACACACATCTAAATAGAAGTCTGGTCAAACCCTTGATGTATGACTTTCTTTTGTTTTTATTTTTTTAATCTTCTGAAATGCTTGAACATATTTAACAAAATGGGAGGTTTTTTTGTTTGTTCATTTTTAGTGTAAATATAGTTTGTTAATATACCTCCACTCATGTAGAACTCTGGAAAATAAACCCTGTTCTCTAAACTCATCTGCTCCCTTTTGTCCCTACTGTCACCATTCATTTTCCACCTGCAATCTTTATTCCTCACTCCCTTTTCTCTCCCCAGGCCGCATATCTGGTTGGCGTCTCTGACCCCAATAGCCAAGCTGGACAGCAAGGGCTGGTGGAGCCCACACAGTTTGCCCGAGCAAACCAGGCAATTCAGATGGCCTGTCAAAGTTTGGGGGAGCCTGGCTGTACCCAAGCCCAGGTAACTCAAGGGAACGGGACCACAGGCAAGTCTGGGAAAGGGTGGATCGGCTGCAAGGGGAAAGAGGGAGTTGCCACACGTGCGAAGAGAGCAGGAACCCATCTCTAACCTTCCACATGCAGCTTCCCTTTGGGTAACTGTCTTCTGCTGTGTGTCTCATCATCCTTTCAGTTACTGCAGTCACAACTTCTCTATGGATGTCTGAGCTTAGTCTCCCTGTGGCCCAGGCTCCATTAGTGCGTATGTCTTTCATCTCCACCTACCCCAAATTTTGTTCATCTTTGAGTATCTCAGTGTCCTAAGTTGTGACTTTTCAGGTGACTCTGTCTTTCCTATTTAGACTTCCAAGAGTATTGCTCTCCATCCCCCAACCCTAAAATGGCTCCTCCTTGGGTATGTACACTACCCTCGTCATGGCTCTTCCATGTCTCCTCAGGTGCTCTCTGCAGCCACCATTGTGGCCAAACACACCTCTGCACTGTGTAACAGCTGCCGCCTGGCTTCTGCCCGTACTGCCAATCCTACTGCCAAGCGCCAGTTTGTACAATCAGCCAAGGAGGTGGCCAACAGCACAGCTAATCTCGTCAAGACCATCAAGGTTCCCACCATTTGAATTCCCACTGTCTCCCTCACCTGTCTAATCTTCTCTCCCCAGTCTCTCAGTTACTCCCTAAAGACTTCTGCCAAATCCCATCTGCCTGAGCCCAAGCCGTTTCCTCTCCAGACTGATCTTCACCATCCTCTCCCACATCCTTCAAGTCCTGGGAGAGAGAGCTGGGGTGGGGGACTTCACCTCCTATGCCCCCCACACCTGCAGTCTGAGTCCTGAGGGCCCTTCTGTCACTTCCAGGCGCTAGATGGGGCATTCACAGAGGAGAACCGTGCCCAGTGCCGAGCAGCGACAGCACCTCTGCTGGAGGCTGTGGACAATCTGAGTGCCTTTGCATCCAATCCTGAGTTCTCCAGCATTCCTGCCCAGATCAGCCCTGAGGTGAGGCAACATGAAGGGAGAACTGATGGGCCAGCTTATCACCTCTTCTTCTGTGGAGTCATGAGACCTACCTCCCTGCCTCGCCTCTCCCCAGGGCCGGGCTGCCATGGAGCCAATTGTGATCTCTGCCAAGACAATGTTGGAAAGTGCTGGGGGACTAATCCAGACTGCCCGGGCCCTAGCAGTCAACCCCCGGGACCCCCCACGCTGGTCAGTGCTGGCTGGCCATTCCCGTACTGTCTCAGACTCCATCAAGAAGCTTATTACAAGCATGAGGTATTGAGGGGTGGAAACCTGGTGTGCCCAGGGCCACACGTGGTAGCAGAAGGGACGGGTGGGCACTGAGGTGTAGTCAGATGGAGAGTGTTGGGGATACAGGGGGCGATAGACTAGCCTTGTTTTAAGGGCATGTTCTTGGTGTTGGAGCCTGTGATGTGTCTGCAGGGACAAGGCTCCAGGGCAGCTGGAATGCGAGACGGCCATTGCAGCTCTGAACAGCTGTCTACGGGACCTAGACCAGGCTTCCCTTGCTGCAGTCAGCCAGCAGCTTGCTCCCCGTGAGGGAATCTCTAAAGAGGTGAGGGAAATAGGGTTATATGAAAGGTTGTGTCTGGGAAGAGAGATGTCAGACTCAAGGAAGGTGGGGGATCAGAGGATGGGCTTCATAGGGACATCAGAGGGCTGGGACCTCCCAATGAGGGTTAGGGAGTTCGGTATGGAAGAAGAGTTGGGGAGGTCTATGCAACCAGAGGGGCCCGTTGCTGGTCACAATGTCCACTTCCTCCCCAGGCCTTGCACACTCAGATGCTCACTGCAGTGCAGGAGATCTCCCATCTCATTGAGCCACTCGCCAGTGCTGCCCGGGCTGAAGCCTCCCAGCTAGGACACAAGGTACCTAGGGAGACACATGGGGAGTCCCAGGGGGCAGGGTGAGAGAGGAGACCTGACCCCCATTTCAACCCCTTGCCTCAGGTGTCCCAGATGGCCCAGTACTTTGAGCCACTCACTCTGGCTGCAGTGGGTGCTGCCTCAAAGACCCTGAGCCACCCGCAGCAGATGGCACTCCTGGACCAGACTAAAACATTGGCAGAGTCTGCCCTGCAGTTGCTGTACACCGCCAAGGAGGCTGGTGGTAACCCCAAGGTACTGAGGGTTGGGAGGGAGAGGCTGTTACTAGTAAGAGGCTGGATAAGCAGAAACAATAGCTCCAGTCACTCACTCTGCCCCACAGCAAGCAGCTCACACCCAGGAAGCCCTGGAGGAGGCTGTCCAGATGATGACAGAGGCTGTAGAGGACCTGACAACAACCCTCAACGAGGCAGCCAGTGCTGCTGGGGTTGTTGGTGGCATGGTGGACTCCATCACCCAGGCCATCAACCAGGTAAGAGGTTGGATGTCTTGGGGTACCTGTGGTCACTAAGGCTGCCCTGGACCAGGGGCCCAAGCACACAGGCAGAGACACTAACAGTCTTGCCCCTTTCCCATCTTTCCCCTCAGCTAGATGAAGGACCAATGGGTGAACCAGAGGGTTCCTTTGTGGATTACCAGACAACTATGGTGCGGACAGCCAAGGCCATTGCAGTCACTGTTCAGGAGATGGTGAGTTTGGGAGATTATCAGAGGACTGCCCTTGGAGAGCTGAGTTGGAATATAACTTCACTTCTTCCATTATCACCAGGTAACCAAGTCAAACACCAACCCTGAGGAACTGGGTCCTCTCGCTAACCAGTTGACCAGTGACTATGGCCGCCTGGCCTCACAGGCCAAACCTGCAGCTGTAGCGGCTGAAAATGAAGAGGTAAACATGGTGGCAGCTCTGAGCCTCCCCTGCCCTCACAGGAAATCCCAGTGGCATGCCCCCTGTTCTGTCATGTCAGCGTCTAGGATTGTCCCACCCTTACTCTCTCGTCTTTCACAGAAAGGGGAACACAGCGTTAGGGCCGCTCCACTAAAGAGTAATCAGGGCGCTGTGTGGGGACACAGGATCAAATCCTTCAGTCACAGGGATAAAGGGGATAGCTCAGAATCTCAAGAATTCCCAGTTCTGCCTCTCTGGCCTCTGCTGACCCTTATCCAGGCCTTTGGCTCCTTCTCTGCTATGCTGCAAGTCTATATTCCCTTGTTCTTTCTTGTTGCAAACCCATGAAGCTCTTCTTTCCCTAAGCTCCTGGCTTTTCAAGAAAGCAGGTAATTGGATCTTAGCAGGACACACCTAATCCCCAAACCCAAAACTCTCCACAGCCCCATATGGGCCAAATTGTAATCCCTGGTCCTCTGATTCAAATACCCAAGCATAAAGTGCTTCTCTCCCTCCTCCTCACTGTGCTTAACACAGTCCTCACCAGCTGGTGCCTACATGCTATTATTTACCATGTGTAGGAGGTGACCTCCTGCCTAAGGGATATGAAACTGAAAAAGTCTGTGTGCTAGGAACTTTCACAACTTTTAGTCTGTTATGCATATTTTTTCTACGTGCTTAGTGACTCCTCCAAACACAGTGGAGGTGCCCTGAGTGCCACTTGGAAAACCCATCTCCCTTTCCCTCTGCTCACAGATAGGTGCCCATATCAAGCACCGGGTACAGGAGCTGGGCCACGGCTGTTCTGCTCTGGTCACCAAGGCAGGGGCCCTGCAGTGCAGCCCCAGTGATGCCTACACCAAGAAGGAGCTCATAGAATGTGCTCGGAGAGTCTCTGAGAAGGTGACATGATCATCCCTGCATACTGTGGGACTAGCTCCCCAAACCTGCAGTCTTTGCCACCCTCCTTCAGCCCTCTCCTCTTGTCCCTCCTCCAAGACATGGGTGACCTTTCCCTTCCACATGGCACCATGTGACTTTCCCTACCCCAGGTCTCCCACGTCCTAGCTGCGCTCCAGGCTGGGAATCGTGGCACCCAGGCCTGCATCACAGCAGCCAGTGCTGTGTCTGGTATCATTGCTGACCTCGACACCACCATCATGTTTGCTACTGCTGGCACTCTCAATCGCGAGGGCGCTGAAACATTTGCTGACCACCGGTAAGGCGGGAACCGGGCCTGATGGCTGCAGGCAGGTTGGCGCACGGGGCAGAAGAGGCAGGATACCATTAGCTCATTTGGGGAAGACCTGGATTGGGAGCCTTGGACAGCCTGGAGGGACTGGGGGGATTTGAGGAGAGATGACTAGGCTGGGCCCTCCTCAGGGAAGGCATTCTGAAGACTGCAAAGGTGCTGGTGGAGGACACCAAGGTCCTGGTACAGAATGCAGCTGGCAGCCAGGAGAAGTTGGCGCAGGCTGCCCAGTCCTCCGTGGCCACCATCACCCGCCTTGCTGATGTGGTCAAGCTGGGTGCAGCCAGCCTGGGAGCCGAGGACCCTGAGACCCAGGTATCTACCTGACATCCCTAATTCTGGCCAGAACTACTTCCTGTTCCCCTTCCTCCTCCCACAGACCAGTGCCACCTCTCTCCCCCTCTCAGGTGGTGCTGATCAATGCAGTGAAAGATGTAGCCAAGGCCCTGGGAGACCTCATCAGTGCCACGAAGGCTGCGGCTGGCAAAGTTGGGGATGACCCTGCTGTGTGGCAGCTCAAGAACTCTGCCAAGGTTGGAGGGAATGAGAACACCATGAGGAGGGAGGCAGATTAATGTGCTTCCTCTTGTTCCTTAAAATGATCCCTTCCCCACTCCCCTGATGCCCCCAGGTGATGGTGACCAACGTGACATCATTGCTCAAGACAGTGAAGGCTGTGGAAGATGAGGCCACCAAAGGCACGCGGGCCCTGGAGGCAACCACAGAACACATACGGCAGGAACTGGCGGTGAGCGCAAGTCTAGGGCATCAGGGACTAGGGTCAGAGAGAGGGATAGTGGTGGACTGTGAGCCTGAACCTGTGCCTCACGTGTATTCACAGAAACATAAACAGTTAAACACTCTTCTGCCTCATGGCCCGACTTCTTAAGTGAGCCACACCCATGTCTTTCCCTCCCTCACCTGTTTACACCTTAGCGTTGGACACCTGTCTTTCACCACTCTCCTCCCACTCTCTCTAGTCACCAGTGGCCTATTAGTTGCCACATTAAGTGGCCTCTTCTTGGCCTTCATCCTCTTCAGAATTTGTAAAACATTAGACTCTGTTAACAAGCCTATCTTTGAAATCCTTTCTTCCTCTGCCTTTTTTTTTTTTCTTTCACCACAGGAGTCCAAATTGCATTCCTTTGGCTTTGACACTGGCTTTTCTCTTGCTTCTGGAACATCTCTTCAGCAGTCATCACTCAATCACCTTCAGCCTAGGAAACATAGAGGCCTTCCCAGAATCATACAGATAGCCGCCTTTCTCTGTTCTCTTCTCTGGCGAGTTTAACCACTTGCATTGTTATTCTCCAAAAGTTGACTTCCAGTTCCAAGGTTAGTTCTTTTCAACCGCCTGTTTGACATCACCACCTAGATGCAGGTGACATGGTACTTCCTATTAATGGGGGTAACAACCTCCTGGTCACGAAGAGTCCACCTCAGTCATCTTTGACTTTGCTGTCTTATTCACCACGTCCAGGCCACTGCCAAGTCCTTTCAGCTCCCCTTCTCCTCTCTTCCTCTGTTCCTCCCCCCGCAGTCCCACTGTCAGCACTCTGGGTCACTCTTCCAGTGGCTCTCCCACACTGGTTGCTATACCCATTTTCTGACAGGTCTCGTTGCTTTCAGTCTCTACTGTTCTCCTCTCCCCTACTCATCTTTCTAATTTCTAAATTCATCTTTCTGATGTTCTGATTTCACCTCTACTTGGAGACGTCCAAAGTGAAACTCTCCAGTTTGACTTTCTGCCTCCCAGATTGGTCCTTCCTGGTCTTCCCCAGCTCAGTAAATAGCACCTTTAGTAACTCAGGTCCTAAAGCCAGAAACCCAGCTTTTAATGTCTTAGACTTCTCTCTTTCTCCCCACATCTAGGCCCATCAGCAAGTCTTGTTAGCGCTCCCTTCAACTAGATTTCATTCTCCCCTTCTCCTGTCACCACCGCCTTGTCTGATCCGTCACCAGTCCTTATGTGGATTCAGGCAACAGTCTTTCTCTGATCAACAGTCTTTCTCTGATCTTCAACACTTGCCCCCTCTAATCCATCCTTTCTACACAGTAGCCAGAATTATCTTTTGAAAATATGAATTAGATTATGTTACTTAACTGCTTAAAGCCTGTCAGCGATGGCCCCTGCTGACTCCTCCAGTCTCATCTTATCTCACTCTTCTTTCTGTGCCCCGTCCCACTGGACTCTGCCAGTGCTGAGAACATGCCAACCTCTTGCCTGCTCCAGGTGCTTCCACTTGCTGTTCTCCAGCTTTTTGAACATTTTACTCCTTCCTTCTATTTCTTCAGACTTCGGTTTAAATCTCACCTCCTCTGAGAGACCTTCCCTGACCAGCTATCTGAAATAGGGACTCATTTATTTCTCATCACAGCACTTTCTTTATTTCCCTGTAATCCAAAACATAGTCGTTAGTTTTGCTGCTTGTTTACTTATGTATTGCCTGTTTCCAAAATTAGAACGTAAGCTCTGTGAGAGCAAGAACCTTATCTACCTGTTCCCCTTCGCATCCCTAGCACCTCGCACAGAATCCACCACCTAGCTGATCTTTAATGAACATGTGTGGATTGATCACATACATCAAAATATTTTTATGACTTTTATATACTATGTAAAATTCCAAGTTCCTGAATCTGATATCCAAGGCCCCAACAACCTTTTCTCCACCATTTCTATATTCTAGAACATTCCTTTTTACTATCCCACTGACATCTCAGATATTCATGTCCTAACATTTACCATGGTAAACAGGAGGGCCCTGTTTTCTACATCTCTTGAGACCCACCTTTGCCACTCACTCCTTCAAGTCTTCTTTCTATTTCAGGAATTAAAACCCAGCCAAAAGCTACTTCTTTAATTGCAAACAAACAAACAAACTCTCCCCAATCATTTTAGTCAGAAATGATGACCAGCTGCCTTCTGTTATATTCGCTGTGATGCATGAACATCTTGCAAGGACTTGACCTACAATAAGTACTCCAGGCCAGGCACGGTGGCTCACGCCTGTAATCCTAGCACTCTGGGAGGCTGAGGCGGGCGGATTGCTCGAGGTCAGGAGTTCGAAACCAGCCTGAGCAAGAGCGAGACCCCGTCTCTACTATCAATAAAAAAGAAATTAATTGGCCAACTAATATATATAGAAAAAATTAGCCGGGCATGGTGGCACATGCCTGTAGTCCCAGCTACTCGGGAGGCTGAGGCAAGAGGATCGCCTGAGCCCAGGAGTTTGAGGTTGCTGTGAGCAAGGCTGATGCCACGGCACTCACTCTAGCCTGGGCAACAGAGTGAGACTCTGTCTCAAAAAAATAAAAAATAAAAAATAAGTACTCCAGGAATGCTTGTTGAATGAACACACAGATGAATGAACCAGATCACACAAGTGCAGAGTATATACACTGTCTTACAATCTCAGTCACTGTCGAATCTTTTTTCTTGTCTTGCCCCACAGGTCTTCTGTTCCCCAGAGCCACCTGCCAAGACCTCTACCCCAGAAGATTTCATCCGAATGACCAAGGGTATCACCATGGCAACGGCCAAGGCTGTTGCTGCTGGCAATTCCTGTCGCCAGGAAGATGTCATTGCCACAGCCAATCTGAGCCGTCGTGCTATCGCAGATATGCTTCGGGCTTGTAAGGTAGAAATCCTAGTAGTGAAGCAGCTTTGGGGAAGAACATGGTGTGGGAGAAACTGTAGGGATTTGGGGGACCTGGAGCTCTTTGAGATCCTAAAGGTAACATATTACTCTGGGGGACAGGAAGCAGCTTACCACCCTGAAGTGGCACCTGAGGTGCGGCTTCGAGCCCTGCACTATGGCCGGGAATGTGCCAATGGCTACCTGGAACTCCTGGACCATGTGCTACTGGTAAGGGAGGGAGTTGCTGGCTCTTCATACCAGCCTCCCTGAATACACGGGCGTCTTCTTGCAAGCCTCAGACCCTGCTCTCTCATTTTTTGCTCCCTACCCACTATCTATTGCCCAAAACTGTTCTTGTTTCCAAGTCTCCCTTTCTCTGGGGCCCCACCATTCTTACTGTCTTTGGTACTCCCACTTACCTACTCCTCTTCCTCTTTTCTCCTCTCTTCCCACCTGACCACCCCCTTCTCTACCTTTGTCATCTCCTTCTTCTCATTTCATCATCCTCCTTGCTCCTTGCCAGCCGGTGAGTGATGCAGCCCCACCGTCTTCATGTGTGCAGTGTGATGCATGGAGTGTACTTGGATAGGCAGAATGATGTTTGAGGGCTGTAGGGTAGAGTGCTCCAGGGATGGGGGGTGGGGAGGCCATGGTCTGCCCTGTTTATAGATCAGCGTAGACCCTAAGATGTGATGTTCTTTGTCTCCTGCACCCCTCTTCCCCAGACCCTGCAGAAGCCAAGCCCAGAACTGAAGCAGCAATTGACAGGACACTCAAAGCGTGTGGCTGGTTCAGTCACTGAGCTCATCCAGGCTGCTGAGGCCATGAAGGGTGAGGGGTGACCAGGGGCAGGGAGGGAAGGAAAACCCCTGTCATGGTATGATCTCTGCTTCCTGGTTGGATGGCTCTGAGCTTGCCTATGCCTGTAGTTCCCCACTGGTGCTGAGGCCTAGTGACACTACCTTCTTGCTCTGCCTTAGCCTCTTTCTTCCCCCTTCAACCCATCAGGAACAGAATGGGTGGACCCAGAGGACCCCACAGTCATTGCTGAGAATGAGCTTCTGGGAGCTGCAGCTGCCATTGAGGCTGCAGCCAAAAAGCTAGAGCAGCTAAAGCCCCGGGCCAAGCCCAAGGTCAGTCCTGCCTGCTCCCTTCCTCTACCCTCATAATGGCAGGATGTTTTCACCTTCAGCCCCCTCTCTGACTTTGCATCTCTCTCTGTGACCTTTGTTTCTTTATTACAGGAGGCAGATGAGTCCTTGAATTTTGAGGAGCAGATACTGGAAGCTGCCAAGTCCATTGCAGCAGCCACCAGTGCACTGGTAAAGGCTGCATCAGCTGCCCAAAGAGAACTGGTGGCCCAAGGAAAGGTAAGTACTTAAATACCCAAAGGAATGGGGACAGGATGGCAGCTTTGTTGTGCATGCCCACACTGGTAGCCTGAGAGGATTTGAAGTGAGGAGAGCACAGTTCTCAGTATCTCTGCCTTCCTCCACAGGTGGGCGCCATTCCAGCCAATGCACTGGACGATGGTCAGTGGTCCCAGGGCCTCATTTCCGCTGTGAGTGTACAACACCCAGTAGGTCTCTCTGAGTTTGAGAGACTTGAGAAGGCTGGAGGGGGGTAGACCAGGGCAGGAGGTTGATTTTAATCTAACTCTCCTTGCTTTAGGCCCGTATGGTGGCTGCAGCCACCAACAATCTGTGTGAGGCAGCCAATGCAGCTGTACAAGGCCATGCCAGCCAGGAGAAGCTCATCTCATCAGCCAAGCAGGTAGCCGCCTCCACAGCCCAGCTCCTTGTGGCCTGCAAGGTCAAGGCTGACCAGGACTCTGAGGCAATGAAACGGCTTCAGGTGAGGAACCCTGACCCATCCCATTGTCCTTTGGGCTACACTGCTTTAAACTGTCACCCCTGAAATAACACGGTTCTATGAGGGAGTTGAGGGACTCTCTCCACTGGGACCCCACCTGAGTTCTTCAACTTACGCTACTATTTCTCGCCCAGGCTGCCGGCAACGCAGTGAAGCGAGCCTCAGATAACCTGGTGAAAGCAGCACAGAAGGCGGCAGCCTTTGAAGATCAGGAGAATGAGACAGTGGTGGTGAAGGAGAAGATGGTTGGGGGCATTGCCCAGGTGAGCTTCTGCCCAGACACTCTGAGGGACACTGTCAGGAGGACAGTCTTGTTGCCTGTGCTGGTCCCAACCACCCTATGCCCTTAATGAATGTACTTACTGAACTGAGTCCCTGATCTGCATCCCTCAGATCATCGCAGCACAGGAAGAGATGCTTCGGAAGGAACGAGAGCTGGAAGAGGCGCGGAAGAAGCTGGCCCAGATCCGGCAGCAACAGTACAAATTCCTGCCTTCAGAGCTGCGAGACGAGCACTAGGGAAACCGCTTCTATTTAACACAGAGCCAACCCAGAGACTGTGCCTGCCACTTACCAAAGCCTTCTGGGCTGTCAGGGCCCAACCTGCCCAACCCCAGCACTCCCCAAAGTGCCTGCCAAACCCCGGGCCTGGCCCTGCCCAGTCCCACTGCACATCCCCTATCCCCTTCCCAGCTCCAAGTGCCTTCAGCCCTAGGGCCTCCTAAGTGCCTGCCCGTCCCCAGAGTATTAACGCTCCAAGAGTATTATTAACGCTGCTGTACCTCAATCTGAACCTGCCAGGGCCCCAGCCCGCTCCACCCTGCCAGCAGCTTCCAGCCAGTCCCCACAGCCTCAACAGCTCTATGCATCCTTTTTTGATACTATTTGCCCCCATCCCCAGCTACCTATGTGGGCTGCAGGGTTGTAAGCCCTGAACAGGTCATCCTCCAATAAAGGTGATTCTGCCTACAACCTCTGCCTGGCTTCATGAGAAGATGGGAGAATCCTCCCAGGGCAGTGAGGGAGAGAATGGGATTGAGTCCTATCACCCAGCTTAATCTGGCTTGAAATGGGAGTAGGGGAGACTAGCAGTCTGCCCCCTGAGGTCCCTTCCTCTCCTTGTACCCAGACCCCTAAAGTTACCCTACTTGGGAAGCTGTGCCTGAGAAGTCGTACTACTGGTGTCCCCCACCTCACTGGCCAGCACCTAAGCATCACCAAGTGTCATATTCTGCTGCTGGGACAGCAGCTGCCACAACTCTATGGCTACAGGACACACTTCTTCATAACTACTGAGAATATGTGAACAAATCCAGTCTCCGGCCAAATTCAAATTTCAAAAACAGCTTTACTAAAAATAAGTCTGTAAGGTATAAGTGAGCCTAAGAGAATTATGGCCACAGAATTGGTTGAAGTCTTTAGCAAGCAAAAAATCCAACCTGAGGCTGCCTCTTGTGTAGGACAGCACTGGAAGGAAAGGAACAGGAAAAGCTTGATCTAAGTGTGAGGCTTTATATTAGAGGGTAGAACTCCCCTAGTGGCCAGGCAGGTGCTGGTAGCCCTGTTCCAGCAGCCCAGCTAATCTGGAGGGTCAGTGCAGGGAGGTGAGTGCTGTGTGCTTCCACTTCCTTCCGCATTCACCCCCCTCTGCCCACTGCATGGATTCTCTGGCATCCTCTTAAGTTGGCCACTATTTCATGCATGATTCTTCGGCCAGCCCTGCTGCTCAGTATGTTATTTCCTTAATACTTCTCCCTCTGACGAGAACACAAATATTACCCATCTGCTACTAGTCTGGGCACCTAACACCTTCAACCCCACCCCCCATTAGAGTAAGTTTAAAGTTGATGGAATTACTTTGTCCTCCCCAGGGCAGCCCCCTGGGGATAGTGCCAACTTCCTACCATCACTCCTGTCACCTGTGATTCATTCATTCAAATTTACTAAGCCATGCCTGTGCTAAGCACTGGAAAATCAAGATGTATTATCACTTCTCTGACACAGGAGACTGGCAACTTTAGTACATGCTGCTGTGGCCCCCTAATCCCAGATTCAATGTCACAGCATCGTGAGTTGAGGATTTTGGATCCCTTCTACAACCTCCCTGAGAAGTGGTAGTCCAGACTCTGAACTCCTCCAACTAGGAGTCCAGGACAGCTGTTCATTCCTGCTACCATTTCCCTGTCATGTCCTCAGGAACTGTGACCAATCACGTACCTCTCTCTAGTGATGCTTTGGGAGCCTTCTGGGGACAGGCTCTGATACCTATTAGACCAACTTCTTCAAATGTAGTCCTTAGACCCCTAGGAATCTCAAAGACCCTTTCAGGGGTCCATAGGTCAAAATTATTTTCTTTTTCTTTCTTTTTCTTTTTATTTTTTAGTAGACAGAGTGTCTCGTTCTTGCTTAGACTGGTCTCGAACTCTTGAGCTCAAGCAATCACCCGAGTTGGCCTTCCAGAGTGCTAGGATTCCAGGTGTGAGCCAAGGCGCCTGGCCCAAAATTATTTTCATAATAATACCATGACATTATTTTTCTCTTTCACAGTATCAACATTTGTACTAACAGCACAAAAATATTAGGGGATAAAACTGCCTTAGCACAAGTCAAGGCAAGTGGCCCTAAACTGTACAAATAGTCATATTCTTCACTGCCATGCATTAGCAACTTAAGAAATAAATGCCAAATTTACATTTAAGAATGTCCTTGATGAAGTAGTAAAAACTTATTAATTTTATTAAATCTTAATCCTTGAGTAAATTGTCTTTCCATACTTGTCTGATAAACTGGGAAGTATGTCTAAAGCACCTCTGCTGCATACCAAAGTATGATGGTTTTCTTGAGGAAAGAACTTAAGCCATTTAGCTGCTCTTTCATGATACACCATGTTTACTAGAAAGAATGACAAACAAACTGGTTATCACACTTGGGCATCAGGCAGACTGTCACAAAAAGGAAAAAATGAGAGTCTGTCACTTCAGAAAAAAATCTGACAGTGTTTGTTGTGAAGGGTTCAATTTGAGCTTAGTATCATTGGCAAACAGTGAAAATTTGAATTTTGTAAAACATATATTTGCCACCATGCGCTTCAAAGCGTCCCAAAATTTAAAACTTAAAGACTTTTCTGTTGAAACCAATCGTGATACTAAGGAATGTGGTTTTTAAAATAATGATAAAATAATGATAATGAAATGTGTCAACATTTGAAAGATCTGCATAGCTCGGTGAATCAACATTTTTCAAATGACCAATGCATGATGTTACAAAATTAAGATCCAATGAAGGTGTGATACAGCGTTGGTGGTATAGTGGTGAGTGTAGCTGCCATCCAATCAAGGCATGACACACACCAGTGGATTTGAATTTAACATAGTACAAAAAGGTCATTGTTAATGGTTTCAGGTTCCACATTGCAACTAACCCTTAAGAAACTACCATTTGTCCAGTTTTGGTATAGTATCAAAGAACAATATCCACAATTATCTGAAAAAGCTATAAAAGATTCCAACTATGTATCTGTTTCTAGGCTGGATTTTCTCCATATATAGTACTTCAAACAAACCACCCTATAGCAACAGACCAAATGCAGAAGCAGATTTTGAGAATCCAGCTGTCCCCTATTAAGCCAGATAAGAAAGAGATTTGCAGCCAGGCATAGTGGCTCACTCCTATAATCCCAGCAACTAGGGAGGCTGAGGCAGGAGGATCCCCATGAGCCCAGGAGCTGAAGGCTGCAGTGAGCTATGATCAGGCCATTGCACTCTAGCCTCAGTGACCCCATCTTTTACAAAAAGAAAGGAAAAAAAAAAAAGATTTCCAAAGATGTAAAATAATTGTACATAAATAAGTAAATGTAAACTTTCACTAATTTGGGGAGTGGAAATATAGTCATTTTTCATTTATAACGTTATTTATGTTAACATAGTTAATGTGTAATGGGCTTATTTTATTTTTAATGAATTAATAAATATTTTAAAGCTTTCTCAGTTTCCATCTTACTATGGCAAGTATTGCTAGATATAACCCACTTCAACAAAAGCTTTTTTGGGGTCTTCAATGATTTTTAAGAGTGTAAGGTGTTCTAAGAACAGAAGGTTCCAGAACGGGTGTACTAGATCATGAGTTTCTCTAGCTCCACACCATATTAGTATATTTGTGTGCCCAGACATTGGCACATAAAAAACTCATTTGGCAAATGTTTATCAAGTGCCAGCTCTATGCCTGGTGCTGTACTAGGCATTGGGGATTGAAAATTGAAAACAACAGTTCCTCTTCTGGAGGACTTACAGACCAGTGGAAGGGACAACAGGTACAAGGACAGTTACAACATGGGGGTAGCATGAGAGTGATAAGCAGCACCAAGAACTTGCACCTATCAGTTGGAAGGGGTGGGCTGGGTCATGGCCAGGGAAGGCTTCCCAGAAAAGCTGACATTTGATCTGAGTCTTAAAGGCCACCAGGAAGCCTAGGGGAAGGGCATTTTAGGGAGCGGGAACAGAATGCATAAAATGGGGAAGGTCGGAGAAAAGGACAGCTATTTCCCGCTCCTGCCCCTAGCTCAGTATGAACGCAGCATGAAGTACAAGTCTGAGTATTGGAGCCAGGCGTGGTGGCTCACGCCTGTAAATCCTAGCACTCTGGGAGGCTGAGGCAGGCGGATTGCTCAAGGTCAGCAGTTCGAAACCAGCCTGAGCGAGACCTGTCTCTACTAAAAATAGAAAGAAATTAATTGACCAACTAAAAATATATATATATACAAAAAATTAACCGGGCATGGTGGCACATGCCTGTAGTCCCAGCTACTCGGGAGGCTGAGGCAGTAGGATTGCTTGAGCCCAAGAGATTGAGGTTGCTGTGAGCTACGCTGATGCCACTGCACTCACTCTCTAGCCTGGGCAACAAAGTGAGACTCTGTCTCCAAAAAAAACAAAACAAGTCTTGAGTACTGGGGGTGAGGCTGGGAATGAAAGATGAGGTTAGAGAGGTAGGCAGGATGCAAAACAAAGGCCCTTCTATACCATATTAAGAAGTGTGGGTGTTTTCTCCTCAAAAGGAGCAGGGAGTAGGGAGGGGTTGTGGAGTATTTTAGATTCTATTCGCATTAACTTTTTAAAAGGTTTTTGGCAGCAATGTCGTGGAACGATCGAATGAATGAAGGAGTTGGGGAACCATAAAGACCATAAAAGACCTAGACAGGAGGTAATATAAGCAGCTGCCCAAGGAAAGCCCACACTCTAAGAGGGAACCTAATAAGTAGGAAGCAGAATCTCCAGAATTACGTGGATGTGAGAAGTGTAGGGCGGGGAGCACTTGATCACCCCGGGAGGGGGGGTCCAGCGTAGGCTACTGGGCGGATGAGGTGTCTTCTACGGAGTTTAGGGAACACTGCGAGGTCAGGAGAGGTCACTCCCTGTGCAGTTAGGCAGATCTGAAAGCATTTCCGCGTCCCCTTCCCGCGGCCCATGGTTCCCTCGGGGCGCAGCCCCCCCCCCAGCAGAATCCAGGCCTCCCGCCCCTCTGCGCATGGGGCCCGAGGCGAACCGCTCCCTCCCGGATTCCTCCGCCCCGTCTCTCCTCCCCTTCCCCCTCCTCCGGGGCGGCTCTCCATTTCCTCTCCCCCCACACCCCCCACCCCACCCCAAGGGAAAAGGAAAACAAACAGCCTCGCGCCCCGCGCCTCTCACTTCCCGACCGAGGACCCGGCTCTGGGAGCTGCTTCTGCGGCCTCGGTCGGAGGGGATCTCAGCCCGGGCTCCCGACGCCGCCCCGCCGCTCAGCAACTCGCCCCTCGCCCCCTGCCTCCTCCGCCCCGGCCCGGCCCCGCCTCCCCCGGGGAAACAGCCCAAAAAAGGGCAGAAAAGAAAATTTGGCGTAAAGTTGGCCCACTGGGGAAGAGAGGAGAGTCCGCTGGGAGAAGGGGAGGAGGGGCAGGCGAAAGCAGGGGGGCGGTGGGGTGGAGGGGGGCGGGCTGAAGAGGCGGGGAAGGCGGCGAAAGGGGACTTGTCCCGGGTGGGAGTGGGGGCGGGGAGCGCGCGGTGACCAGCCGGGCAGTAGCCGCGTGGAAAGTATGCGGGGCACGTGGGGGGCGGGGCGAGGAGCCGGGTCCCCAGCCGCCCCGGCTGGCAGAGGAAGGGCTTGTCTCCTGGGACAGGGGCAGGGGCTGGGAGGGAAAGAGAGGTCAGGCCCGCCCTTCGGGGCAGCAACCAGGACTGCGCTCCGCCCTGCGACCCGGGCTCTGGGCTCTCGTCCTGCCTCAATTTCCCCAAGTCCCCGGTGAGACTCCACCGCCACCACCACCACCACGTCAGTAACGCAAACCTAGAGTCTAGGACTCGAGGTAAACTGAGGCACTCGAACCGCGGAGGAACTCCGCCTCCCAAGAGACATTTAATCCGGAGGGATTTACAGGAAACTTCTAAATTAAGGGCAGCGGCTGCTCCAGCTGAGGGGGGGGGCACGCCAGTCTCAGCGCCAGGGCAGCTGCCCTGAGCTCACGCCCCGAAATAGCCCCAGGGGCTCCAGCCGCAGCTGCCACTGGGCCCGGCTGTCAGTCAGAAGAAGCACAGAGCCCCCAGCCCGAGGGTCCCCTCCCCTCTGTAGCTAGAGGGTTTTTCCAGCCGACGGTCGACAGTCGGATGCTTTTTCCTCCGATGGCTTGCTGGGGGATGCGGGCTAGAGGGATGGGGGTGGGACCCCCAAGGGGGCGGGCCCGAGGGGTGGGCACAGGGGGCGGCCGCGCCCCCCCAGCCGGGCATTGCTTCTGCCCCTACAAGGTTTGGGCCGAGGTGGGGGAGGGTCCTGGTTGCCGGCTCCGCCCGGTCCCTCCCAGCCTTTTAGGCGCCCGCCCGGCTGGGACATCCCAGTCCCGCTCGGTCCTCCTCATCCACCACCCGTGCGCCCAGTCCGCCTGGTCCTCACTGCCTACCAGCCGGCCCACGCCCCACCGCAGCCATGGACGCCATCAAGAAGAAGATGCAGATGCTAAAGTTGGACAAGGAGAATGCCATCGACCGTGCTGAGCAGGCCGAAGCAGACAAGAAGCAAGCTGAGGACCGCTGCAAGCAGGTGGGGGCCCAAGCCCAGTGCAGCCTCCCCTCCCCCACCGAGAATCGGATGGGCTCTTGCCCTGGGTCTCCCAGCCTTGGGCCTGCTCTCCAAGGTGCTCTCCCACCCAGGGTGAGGGCTAGGCCTTCTCAGTACTCTCAGGTCCCCAGCCAGAGCCACACTTCATCTCACCCACCGTAGCCTGGGGCACCCCAGTCTCCTGGTTTCCACCCCTTCCCTTGCAGAGCAATGATGGGTCTTGATCCTTATGGCTTAAGGCTTTCTCTGTACCCCCACCAGGTCCCCCAAACCGTTTGACTGGACTGCCCCTCCTCTGTTATCCCCTTCCTCTCCAGCAGCCTCCAAATAACTCTTCCTAGCCCCCTGCACACACTCCTGCCTCCTCTCCCTGCCTGGGCGCCCACCCAGGCCTGGCTGATAGAGCCCCTCTCTCCTAGCTGGAAGAGGAGCAGCAGGGCCTCCAGAAGAAGCTGAAGGGGACAGAGGATGAGGTGGAAAAGTATTCTGAATCCGTGAAGGATGCCCAGGAGAAACTGGAGCAAGCCGAGAAGAAGGCGACTGACGTGAGTGTGGACTTGGGGGACAGTGGGAGGAATTGGTGCACCTGGGAGGGTCCCCCTAGGCATGTGGATGAGGGAAGAAAGGGACCTAGATATCCCTAGCACCAAGACAGAAATGGCTTCCTCTCAGTTCCCCAGGGCTAAGGCAAGCTTACACAAATAATCCAAGACAGTGGGTAAATCAAAACCACCTACCACTTCCCCCAGAGGACTTAGCCTTATAATTCCGTTTGGGTCCAGCTTTGGAAATGTACAGTGATCAAGCAGTGAGTCATTGTGGGGGTATGTAGTACAAGAATTTACGATCTACCTCGGTTAATCCTGCAGCTGAAATTGGAGAGGAGACTGCAGCTAGACTGGGGGTGGGAAGATGGGGGTGTGAGGTACTATTGAGCAGGAGGAGGGAGAGGGATCCAAAGATGGGGCCCAACTTGAGTTACACCCCTAAGGGACCATTAGAAATTCCCTGGCCTTGACCTCTGGCTCCACTAGCCCTTCTGTGCACTGAGGCCCAAGCTCAGGTTCTAACGGCTCCTCATTTACCCTCATTAAGCTGTCAGCCTCGAGACCATGCCAGGCCACAGGGCCGAGGGACAGGGCCACAAATGCCAAAGCAGCTACCTTAAAAGGGCCTGCCTACCCTGAGATTTTTCTGCCCACCCTATAACCCCAACCAGACTTCTCAACTTGCTAACATCCCCAACTCCCACCTTAAGGTAGGAGAATGGCCATATAGCTTTGGACATCCTACTTTCACCACTCTCTACCTCCATTTCCCCGTCTGCCTTCCATACGCAATTATTTTAGTATGAACCTATGGTTGGGGTGTACGGGGGGATTGGCATAAAGCATGATCTGAGCATCAGAGATGACATTACTGTTTGTGTTGACCATTCTCCCTGTTCCCCAGCCCCCGGGGGTTGAGCTTCTCTGATCTCCAGCCCCCAGTTTTGGTTCTCCACTGGCCCTGCCACTTGGGAGGGAACTGCCCTGCAGCTGCTAGCAAGCACAGCCCTGGGCATCTGACACTCTATAAATAACCAAGGCCCAGTGCAGCTGGAGGCAGGACTGGAAACCCAAGGAGCTGGGTGGGGGCTGGTAGGGAGCAGGGCGGTCAGGGCCAGAGCTGGGGAGGCAGAACAGCAGTGCCAGAAGCAGATAGGAAAGACTGCCCAAACTTACCGTGTAACCTTGAACCCAGCAACTTAATTTAAACAGTGCCTCAGTTTCTCCTTTCTCTTCTTGCTTCCAATTTGTCCAGTGGGGATAGTAGTGTCGGTCCTGGGGTTAGAGAATGACATCCATAACTGGGAAGAGCTTGAGGAGCAGGAAATGGCAATATCAGTCCCATGATGACGAGGACCCCAGGACTTCCCAAACTTTCCAGAGTCGTTTGTCCCCCTACCACCACGAAGAGAGTTTTTCTTTTACAGAGTTTCATCTTTCTCTAGAATATAGTCCTCCAACGTCTCCCAGAGTTATCCTTCCCAGCCCCCAGTGCTGTCCCCAGAATCCTTCCACACTGAGTCATCCGGCCCTCTGCCCATGATGGGCTCTTGTCACTCTAGGTGGCCAAGCTCCAGGTGCCTTTAGCACCTGCAGGACAAACTAAGTCTACTTTCTATATATGGTGCTGTGTCTCTCCTGTCCTACAGTGCCACCCCAGACCTGCTTCCAGGCCCTCTGCCCCAATGCTGCCACCCAGCTCCTCTCCCTCCACTCGCTCCTTTCCCTACACTGGTGCTTCCTCCTTTCCAGTCTTAAATCTCAGCATCTCTAAGTCTTTATTTTTGAGGGAGAGACAGGGATGCTCTAACATTTATAGAGTATGGACTCTGTGCAGGCAATGTGCTTGGTGCTTTCTGCATATTATTTTACTGTTTCCAAAACTGCGCTTATCATCAGAATCACTTGGGGGCTTTTTAAAAGAAAGAGACGATTCCCGAGCACCTACCCTGAAGATCTCAGTTCAGTGGATCTAGCATGAAACAAAAGAATCTGTTTGGTTTCATAAGCCTCCCCGATGATTAATCGAGTCCTGTTGATTAATTGAGTATTAGAAGCACCTCATTATCTCAGAACAGCCCTAAAAAGAGGGAACCATTATTGTTAACTCCAACTTATTAAGGAGGAAACTGAGGCTTAGACTAAATAAGTTGCACAAGGTCACACAAGTGTTGAGTGGCTGAGTGGTGGCTCACAGACAACAGTCTGACTCAGAGCTGATGCTCTTAACACCAGACTGCATTGCTTCTCTCATTTTCCTTTATTGGGGCCCACCCTGCTCTGCCCTCCCATTTTCTCAGTGTATCATCAGGTTTTTTGGCCCTTTTCCAAAACCTCCATGGTTTTGCCTCCATATTGCAAGACGGGGGGCTGAGTATCCATCCCTCACACTGCCCCTGCATTGTCCCAGCTATCTCCTGGCCTTGGCAGGGAGCCCCTTGCCACAGCCTTGGATGTCACCTATAGACCTGGCTTGCCTCTTGGGCCCCTTGCTGGGAGTCTCCCTGGCAACCAGTGACATCACTGAGCTTGATTCTGTGACTGGATATTCTTATCATCGGCAGTAAAACCTGGTTGGCTTGAATCTTCCCCTTCCTTACTTGAGCCAGGCTCTGCTGTGAAGGAATCAGAGCACATGGAGTGCTCTCACAGGGAACAGAGGACCTGCATGCAGATAACCATGCACAGTGCCAGAAGAGGCCCTGTAGCAGGGGAGTGGGGCTTGTCAAAGAGTGCATCGTTTTGGCTGGAGTACAGAGTCTCCAGTCTGGGCAGAAGATGGTTGGTTGGGGAGAAAATAGGTTGAAAGTCTAGTAGCCAGGAAGCCTAGGTTCTTTCTTGAGAAGAGTCTTGCCACCCTCTGGAGCCTCTGATTCTCATCCATGGCAGACAAAAGCCTTTTTGCCCTCTGCCCTCTGACACATAGGCTGAGGCAGAAGTGGCCTCCCTGAACCGCCGTATTCAGCTGGTAGAGGAGGAGCTGGACCGGGCGCAGGAGCGCCTGGCCACCGCCCTGCAGAAGCTGGAGGAGGCTGAGAAGGCAGCTGATGAGAGCGAGAGGTGGGCAGGGGGCCCTGAGTGGGGAGGACCGATGGGGGGGAGGGATCCTGTCTCTTCTGGTCCTGACCCCACAGTTGCTCTTCTCCCTGCCTCCCAGAGGAATGAAGGTCATTGAGAACCGGGCCATGAAGGATGAGGAAAAGATGGAGCTGCAGGAGATGCAGCTGAAGGAAGCCAAACACATCGCCGAGGATTCAGATCGCAAATACGAGGAGGTGACAGCCCTGCCCCGCTTCCTTCTCACTGCCAAGCCCCAGAAACCCCCAGTTGTCCACCACCGATCCACTCTTTCTCTATCCCACTTTCCAGGTGGCCAGGAAGCTGGTGATCCTGGAGGGAGAGCTGGAGCGCTCAGAAGAGAGAGCTGAGGTGGCCGAGAGGTAAAGATACCCTGGGGTAACAAGTGACACTTGGCCTGAGCCAGTGCCCATGGGGCCCTCTGCACAGTGGGGAGGCAGTGTCCCAGGCTTGGGGACAAAGGGACAGGTCCTGTCCTCTGACCCCTGCCCACTGCCCCCAGCCGAGCAAGGCAATTGGAGGAGGAACTTCGAACCATGGACCAGGCCCTCAAGTCTCTGATGGCCTCAGAGGAGGAGGTAGTGACCTCTCTGGACCTTTCTGGGCAATGTTGCCTTCTCTCAGCTCGCCTTCTCCTCCTGCTCAGCATCTGAGGCTGCTCTCTCTCACTGGCTGGGGGTCAGGAAGGGCCTGGGGCTTCCAAACTCTGCCTGCTGTCACTCTCACAACCTTGCTCTTCTCTTCTCTCCTCCACCCCTCCCCCACTGTGCCATCTCTACTGTCTGGCCTCACTGTGCCCTCACACCCTGCCATGCCACACACCCCTACAGTAAATGTGGGGACCTAGAGGAGGAGCTGAAAATTGTTACCAACAACTTGAAATCCCTGGAGGCCCAAGCCGACAAGGTAGAAGGGGGAAGAAGGGCAGTAAGGATGGGTCCTGCAGGGGAGGGGGTGACGGGCCCAGGCACGGAGGGGCTGGGTGCTCAACAGAGGCAAGATCATGAGGAGCCTGTGGGGTTAGTGGAGAAATGAAATATTCGTGGAGGTGATATACTGACAACATGTGTCTGTCCCTAAAAGTATTCCACCAAAGAGGATAAATATGAAGAGGAGATCAAACTGCTGGAGGAGAAGCTGAAGGAGGTGAGAGTTTTCTTCTAGTGCCCAGTCTTCCTTCAGGCCACCCTGATCCCCACCAGAGACTACCTATGGCAGGGAATGTGGCCACAGGGATGGAGAGAAGGTTGACCAGTGGTCTCAAGGAAGGCCTCCTTTTTCCCATTTCTCCCACCCTGCCTTTACTCCCAGGCTGAGACCCGCGCAGAGTTTGCTGAAAGGTCTGTGGCAAAGCTGGAGAAAACCATTGATGACCTAGAAGGTAAAAGGGATACTCCCTCATACCCAAAGACGTTTTTAAGTAGGTCCACACCCATTGTGACTATTAGTCTGCCCCTTATCTTCTCACCACATTCTATTTGCCACCAATAAACTAGAGTTGGACCATTGAGGACTCCACAAACTCCAGGGGGCTAGGCCTACAATTCAAATTCCAATAATTGTAGCTGGCCACTCACGTCAACTCCGGTTGCGTGCACGAGAACTTCACATGCACGAGAACTTCGGTGTACACGAGAATCACCTGGAGGGTTTTAGAAACACAGATTCCTGGGTCCTACTCCAAAGTGACTGCTGTATGTGGGCTGTAGAATTTGCATTTCTAACCAGCTCTATGGTAACTCTACTAGTCCTCAGACCACACTCTGAGTGGCACTGATTCAGACAATCCCATCTCCAAGTGTCACACAATAGAGTCACATCACAGAGACTTTATTAGAGAGCAATTTGATTTAATATGTAGGTTTGCATGACAACATTAATGGAAAATACTATATTAAGCTAGATTTGGTGAAAACAAACATCCAGATATTTATTAGCCTGTGGCTGTATCATTGACAGTGTCGTGACTAAAGGTCCCTTTCTATGCCTGTCTATTCTATGATAACCCTTTCACTTTCCCACTTCTCTTGCTTCCAGCCTTCTCAGGCAAGCATCAATTTTATCTCCAACTTTAGGATGGTAGCCCTTTCTGGCTTCAGCACCCTTGCTCTCCCGCTTAAGCAAGCATTCCTGCTTGTCCAGAGCACTGTGCCCACAGGCCCTTGGGGAGGCAGGAGCTCCTGAAGGGAGAACTAATTTGGGATACAAAGAAGGACAAAAGAGAGGGGTGGGGAGAAGGGAACCTTGATGGCTGTCCAGCCTGTTCTCTAGCCTGTCTCTCTCACTCTGTCCACCTCTCTCTGATCCTTTTCTCTCCTTCCCTTTACCCTGTCTCCTTCCTTCCTTGCCTCTTTCCCTCCATTCCCTCTCCCCACACTCCCACCTGGCCCCCCATCCCCGGACTCCCCAGATGAAGTCTATGCCCAGAAGATGAAGTACAAGGCCATCAGCGAGGAGCTGGACAACGCGCTCAATGACATCACCTCCCTCTGAGCTGCACACCAGTGTGGCCACCCCAGCCCCTTCTCTCCTCTTCTTTCCATTCTTTCTGTGGGAAAGGGGAGGCAGGAGGAGCAAAAGTTGCCAACATTGCACAGCCAGGCTGGGAGCAGCCCAGAGAGAGCCCCCATCATACCCTCTGCCCACTCTGGCACTGGCTTCATCCTTTTGTCTATCACACCCTCCACCCCTCTTTGCTGCCTAATAAACTCTGAACTTGGTCTCCATACTGTTTTCCTGCCCTCCAGAGAGCACTTCCATCACTGCCATAGAGTGTTGGTTCACTCCTGAGACCCTAGCTCTTACCACACCCCCATCATGTGACACACCCCTCTACACCAAGCGCACTCACACCCAAACCCCTCTGCATGGCACTCCCAGTCTGTCGCCCTCTGACTCTCACTGCTGCATGTGGGTCTATGTGGCCCCCCTCCACACACCCGGTGCCCGCCACTGACCCCAGAGCACTTAGTTGGGCTTCCAGGATCCGGCAGAAGGGCTGGAAGGGAAATGGGCGGTGAGGTGCCGGGAGGGGCACGAAGGTTGTGAAAGGTCTGGAATGAAGTCCGGAAAAAGGTTGGATATCAGCAACATGGGGCTTTCACTGCAGCTGCAGGTCTGTTTTCTGTCTCAAGTCTGTCTGTCTCTGTCTGGCCCTCCCTTTCCTGGCTCAATCTTTGTCTTTCCTTCTGTTTCCAACTTTCTTAAACCTTTTCAAGAAAGAGGGCAAATTAGTTGATGACTCAGGCCTCCCCATCCCACCTCCATGATCCCGAGGTCTTCAGTGAGGCATCCGTGTCTGTCCTGTTCCCCTCATCCTGCTCAGTGCATCTGTCTGCCCATGAGGCCCAGGGGGCCCTGATGCTGTGTCTTCCTGCATGTCCTAACCCACTCCATGTCTATATGTCACTTTCCCCTGTCTGTGCCACCCCATGTCTCCCCCTGATGTCTCCCTGCCCCTCCTCACCTGCTGCTTCCCCTCACAGAGACCTTGGCCAGTGCCAAGGAGGAGAACGTGGAGATTCACCAGACTCTGGACCAGACCCTGCTGGAACTCAACAACCTGTGAGGGCCACCCTGCCCCGCCAGGCTACAGTGGCTACCCCAGCCCAATAAAACTGATGTTACCAGCATCACAGGGCCCTTTAAGCATTTCTTTGCTGGAGTTGGAAGACCTCTGAATGAGAGGGCTAGATCTTTGCTCTGTATTGGAATGTCCTTTTCACTGGCAGCCGTGAGGTGGGAGCACAGGGCTCAATGAGGAGGGATCATGGACAGGCTGTGTGAAACAGAGAAACCAATAGGCCTGGGGGGACATCTGGCCCTTACTCCCTGCAGGGCAAAGGAGCTTTACTCAGCAGTACTGCCTTACTCCAGTGGGCCAGACCATACATTCTTTTTTTTCAACCTCAAGCTTGTGTTTTACAGACCATACATTCTGAAGGCAAAAATACAAGACGACGACACAGGTTTAACCGAAAAAGCTCTGTGTGTGATTTTAAGCCCAGAGGCTATAGTCTGCCCTAACCCCAACATACATACACACACACACACACACACACACAAGGCCATTCCAACAGTATCAGTCATTTCTTTCCCCTTCCTGATAACATCTGTGGTGGGCAGAATAATGCCCCTCCTCCAAAATTGTCCACATTCTAATCCTGTGAAATGTTACCTTACATGGGAAAGGGATTTTGTGATTAAGCTAAGGTTTTGAGATGGGGAGATCATCCTGAGTTATCTGGGTAGGCTCAGTGTGATCACAAGGGTTTTTATAAAAGGGAGGCAAGAAGTTCAAAGGCATTAGTAGGGGATGTGACAATGAGAACAAAAGACTGCAGTGATGCATGGAAGGAGCCAGGAAATGCAGTTGCCTTCTAGAATCTTAAAAAGGCAAGGAAATATTCTATTCTCAGAGCATCCAGAAGGAACCAGCCCTACTGACATCTTCACTTTAGCCCATAAGATTCAGTTTGGACTTAAGAGCCTCCAGAACTAGAAGAGGGTAAATTTGCATTACCACTAAGTTTGTGGTAATTTGTTGCAGCAGCAATAGCAAATTAATATGCACTCCTTCTGAGGAACAAAGGTGATTTCCACATATTTTATTAGAAATATTTAAAAAACATCTTTGGAGGTTAAAAAGGAAGTGGTATAATGGGCAGGACAGGACAGAGTTTCCAGCTTCCCTCAGATTCCTCTAGCCGGTACTCTGCACATCCTCCAAGTTCCAGGCCTCTAGGCGCCTGTCTCAGCAACCTCTGCAGGGTGGTAGCTGACAACCGCTTTGGCCCCACTTCTGTGTATACACAACGGGGAAGCCTAATCAGAAAACTGGCCCCAGATGAGCTCACTTGAGTGCAGTGTGAGTGAAACTTGGTGTTCTGGACTCCACAGGGCTAGGGGTTGTGCCTGGGGGAGGAGTCAGTATAATACCTGTGCTGCCTTCGCATCTGCACAAGGAGGGCAATGCCAGTGACAGCAAAGAGGAGGCCAAAAACCAGAGCCAGGATGTCACCTGGGAGGGGGAAAGAGGAGGTCTGCAGGACTCCTCAAAGCTTGCTTCAGTGCACCCCCCAACCCCTGTCCCACATTCTCGGGCAGCCCCAATGCCTTGGTTTCCAGAAGAGGTCAGTCGAGGAATAGGGGTGGATACATGGGAAGAGTAAGATAGGCACCATTTTTCCTTCCTAAAAGCTAAGTAAAATGGCTGTTCGGGGAGGGGGATGCTAGATTTCTAGAGCCTCATTCTGACAATAGCAGAATCCCCCACCCCATGTTCTGACTTGGAATAGGACTGGGGTTAGGGATCTGTTCTGCAGCAAAGGACGGAGCAGAGGTGGTCCTCATTAGCCCCTGGGAGAGGTGTCCCCCAGTAACAGCAAGAGGAGGGGCACAGACTCACCAGCAGCAAAGCAGGAATTCAGGCGGACTACAGAGAAAAAGAAGACGTTAAGAGCCGCACTGTGACCACCAGTGATAGACACTGGCACAAATGAAGACACATGGGAAGGTGAGGGTCCTGTGGCTGAGGGAACACCGGACAAAGATGTACCTGGCTCAATGGTTCGAGGACTGATGTCCACTCCAGCAGGAAAGGAGGCCTCAATCACTCGCCCATTCAAAGGTTGTGTCACTCGGAAGTTCAGCTGTAGCCGAGAGTCACTGGGTCCCCATAGGGAGCCAGAGAGGGTGTGGAGCTAGGGAGGGTGTGTGTGGGGAGGGCTCAAGGCATGAAAGGAAACAAGGGTCCCAGGCCTCTTCGCAGCCAACACCTCAGGGTGCCACCTCCATCTCCCACACCCCCACACCCAGCCCCTTGATGTCTTCATTCTCCACTTTCTTACCTCATTCTAGATTTCTTTGCCCTACCTCACCTGCTTGGCACTCAGCCTCACTGTCTGGTTGAACACAGTCCAGATGACCCCCTGGGCACAGGGCGGTGTGGTCAGAGACCCCTCATATCGGAAGTAGCGGCTGAGGTCGGACGGTAGCAGTGCAGATACATCCAGTCCTGGGACTGAAGTCTCTGAGCCTGTGGAAAGGACCTGTGTTGGGGTCTCACCTACATCGTGTCCCTCCGAGGAGCCAAGTTAACTCCCTGAGACACTTGTTCCCTGAGTGTGGGCCCTTCCCGTAAGACATGACTCAAAAGAAAGTAAAGGGCTGTGGGCCTGGAAGAGGCCTCGTGGAGCAAGAGCTGCTGAGGTCCTCCCTCTGCGTCTTCAGTCTTCCCGCACACTGCCACCAAAGGCTGCACAACAGATTTAAGCCCAGAGTGAATTAAAAAGGGAAAATGAGCTGCATAATTTATAAATAAATATGAATATTTATAACTATAAAAAAACAGACACAAGAACTCCAAAGGCAGAGTTCGCTCTAGGTTAACAAAAACCCAAAGGTCTCATAGAATAAATGAGATTTAAAATGACCCGGAGTGACTGAGAAGGGAAAGAAGATTTCCAATAAAAGTATTTACAAAGTCAAAATATTTGATGCTTATGAAAGAGAAGTAGGCAGTTCTCAAAAAAAGTTTAGCTCTCCAGACTTGACCCTAAAAGTTCCAAACACCATTTTTTATCTTTTGTGGTTTTTGGGGTTTTTTTGTCTAATTTTGGCTTTTGTTTGGTTTGTAACCATTAAGCGTGTTGTGGACAGTTTGCCCGCACCTGTTTGCCTCTGTCAGCTTCACAGTCATTGCCACGATGAGGGCCAGGGCATACTCAGCCCCCTCCTGCATGGGAAGGAGTCCACCTGCAGCCTCAGACCTGAGGCTCCCCAAGGCAATTCTCTACCAACTAGGGCATCAGGGGTAGTGGCCAGACCAACAAACTGACCTTCCTCAGCGATTTCGTCCAAATGTGACAGCAACTGCTCATAGGCACTGTTTTCTTCCGGGCCCTCCTGGGGGATGACAGCATAAGATGAATACAGGGAGTCCCAAATGTGGAGTGGGGCTCCCATAGTCCTCCCCTATTCCTCAGCTCTGAGAATGCTGAGGAAACATAAAATCTTATGTATTATTACTCAAAGTATATTTAGTCTTGCTTTGCAAATAATTTTGGTGGACTGGCTTTCAATGGGATATTAGGCCCTTGGTGACCTGGGCCCAACTAACCTTACACAGTTTCACTTATCACTACTTCCACACACTCCATGGTTCCCCACAAAAAACCATGACACACCTTTGTATTCGTGTTACTTTTGCATTCACCTTAATCATGTGTTTGACTTTTGGAGTGAGGTCCTGACATGCTATTTCTGAGGCACCTCTCTCAACTTTGTGCTGTGCAGGTGGCATGAAGCAATCAGCGTGTGAGCCTGGAAAGGATCTCACCACCCCTTCACTTTACTGGCTTCTTCTAATCATTGAGTATGTAACTTTGACTATTAAAGGGCCAAAGAGGTCACTAAATACTGCATTTCACAAAGGAGAAATGATGGGTCATTGAAATGTTACAGAAATTACTCTACCTGATGTCCAGGTTATCGCATCGGCCATTCCCTAAATAGGCCATATCCTGAGTCTTTGCACATACTGTTGTCTCTACCTGGAACACTTCCTTTTCTTCCCCACTAGTGAAGGAGTTTCGCCTCCCGTATGGCCACTATTTTTACTCCATGTCCTTTGTATATATCTGTTATGTCAGCCCCCACTGGCTGTGGGCTCCTTAGAGGCAAGGACCCATGCATGGCCTTTGAATCCTTGTGGTGGTCCAATGCCTGTTCACAGTCACAGTGATGAATGAATGAACCAATGAGTGAATGAGGCTGATAGCCAGGGGCCAGAGGCCAGGGTGAACCTGCTGGGATGGGATCTCTGGGAGCAAGATATGCTGGGTCCAGGAGTGTGGGGAGGCAGGGAGTAGGGGTGTTTCCAGGGTCTGGTACCTGCAGAAAGGCGGCCAACACAGCCAGGCCTCCCGGGCGCCCCAAGGCATCCTCTACTTTGGCAAATGCGGTGCTGATGTGAACCACGTGGATCTGCAAAGGACAGGAGGGTAGGAGTGTGCCAGATCTCCGGCCCCACCCTGCACCTGTGCCCTTACTGAGACAGCTCCGAGCTCACCTCAGCAGGGAAACGGTGGCCGTCAACGGTGTGCTCTGAGCCCAGGCGCCCCGCAGCCCCCCAGTGCAGATGCAGCTGCAGGGCCCGGTACTCCCGCCCGGGACCCAGGGCCATCTCTAGCCCGGGAGGCAGAGTCAGCTGCACTGCGTGGTGAGAGGCAGGTGAGCCGGGCCCCGCAGCGTCCCGAGGCTCAGCCCCCCAGGCTCGGCCGGGAGCCCGCCTCACCGGTGTGGCCATTGTTGCGCAGGCGCAGTTTGGGGAGTGGCGGGAGCTCGAAGCCCAGGAGTTGCAGGGGTCGCAGGGCCGGGCAAACCGCGGCGAGCTCGGGGCGGATATCTACCGGGGACTGAAAGCGGCCGGCGCAGGCTGGGGACACCTGGGGCCACGGCGGATCGCCTAGGGTGGGATAATGAGGCGAGGAAGTCTGATGACTAGGTTGGGAACTTTTAGGGAACCCGGCTAGAAAAAGTGAAGGGGTGGAGTCAGGAGACTTCGGAGCGGGAACTAGAAATCAGGGACGTGGGCGGGGACAGGCAGTGGGCTGTGACCAGAACGCCTGGGACCCGTGTTCTGGCATAGTTGTGGGGCAGATCGGCAGGGCTGGGTTCCCAGATTGGGTCTGTGCAAGGCGTGGGTGTCTCACCTCCATAGCGCCAATGACTGTGGTCATCCCCTGCAGAAGTGAGAAGGATGAACAGGCCCATCTTAGAGCCCAGTCCTTTCCCTGGAGCTGGAATGGGTGGGACCCTCTAATCAACTCAGGTTCGCAAACTCAGATGCCTTCCAGGGCATAGAGGGTAACACGCCTGAAGCGGGCCAGGTGTAAAGCACAATAGACTGCAACCAAAGGTAACACCATGGCTGGGTAGGCCACACAGCAATGCCACCAGTTTGCAACTGCTGTCTTAGGGTCTGTAAAGTGGGTGGGCGCCTCAGCCTCGAGGCCCGAATCAGGAGACCATCTTTCCTTTCTCCCTTATTCCTCTCTCCTCCCCACTCATCCCTCTGCCTTGTCTGGTCCCCAACTCCTTTCCCAAAGTTCCTGGCTTGGGAGTTGAAATGCCAGGTTCCTCTACTTGCTGTTTCCTTTTTCCTAGGTCTCAATTTCCTCATTGCAGACTGAAGATGAGATGATCGCTGCAAACTATTCTAGCTCATCCTCTGGTACTCACTCCACCCCCCACTCCCAGTCTTTCCTTTCTCCCCCTCTTCACCTATTTTTATTATTATTATTATTTTTTTTTTTTGAGACAGAGGCTCACTGTCTTGCCCGGGCTAGAATGCCATGGCATCAGCCTAGCTTACAGCAACCTCAAACCCCCCGGGGCTAAGCAATCCTTCTGCCTCAGCCTCCCAAGTAGCTGGGACTATAGGCATGTACCACCATGCCCGGCTAATTTTTTCTATATATTTTTAGTTGTCCAGCTAATTTCTTTCTATTTTTAGTAGAGACGGGGTCTCACTCTTGCGCAAGCTGGTCTTGAACTCCTGAGCTCAAACGATTCTCCCGCCTCGGCCTCCCAGAGTGCTAGGATTACAGGCATGAACCACCGCATCTGGTCTATGTTTTTTCTCTTTCTCCTTTCCAGCCTCCCCCTTTCTTCTCTCCCATCTCTTCCAGATCACTTCTCTCCATCTGTACCCCCTTTTATTTTATTTTCCCATCCATCTCCTTCTAGCTTTCATACTAATACATATACTCAGTTTTTCATTCAAGCTCAAATGTGCATCCTAGCTACCCAGCTACCTAACTCACCCTCAGGCTTCCCTAGCAGCATGTCCTACCTCTCTGTTTGCTCCCTGGCTGGGCCAGGCATGTATACGTGGGCTGCTTTGCCTTTCAGCTAGAGGATGCAGGGGCCCAGCTCCTCTGCCTCTCCCCTTCCCTGCCTGGCAGGGCTGTCAGAGTACAGGCACCTCTCCTTCCCTGGATAGTCACCGCCTGGGTGAGGGGCTGGGGAAGGGAGGCATGAACCTCCTGGAGCCTAGATTTGGAGGCAGATGGCCACTTACCTTTTTTGTCCTTGTGGGCATTATTCTGGGGGACTTCAGTATCTCCAGGAGCCTCAACAGTAGGTAGATCTTCTAACTTCAGGGAGTCATCTTCTCCTGGTTCAACTTCAGGTGGATCCTCTTCTCCTAGTGGATCATCCTCTCCGGGGGGATCCTCGTCACTGGACAAATCCTCCTCGCCCAGTGGGTGATCTTCCCCAGATGAACCTCCTCCCATGGGAGGATCCCCTTGCATCTGGAGTGTGCTCTGGGTATGCACAGGCACCAAGAGCAGCAGTGACAGCAGCAATTGTACAGTAAGGCCCGAAGCAGGGGCAGGAATCAGCAGAGGGAGCCAGGGGCTGGGGCACAAGGGAGCCATGTGGCTGACTGCAGGGTATCCCAGTACACGGTGTGGACGGGCTGTACGTGCATGGGAAACAGGAGCCGAGTGGGGGAGGAGCAAGCCTGGAGGGGAGCAGGCTGACTCACAGAGTGCCCTTTTGTAGAGATGGAGCCAAAGTCCCGCGGGTCTGTCTGGCTCTGTGCCCCCTCCCCGATACCAAAGCCCAGAGAGGGGTGGAGTGAGGGCCAGGTGTGTATGCAGGCAGAAGGTTATCGGGGTCATGGGCTCAGCTTGGAACCCAAGGCACCACCTGGCACTGTACAGGTTCTCCCTGGCACTGCCTGGTTGCTTGCCAGCCAGCCTCAGCTAACCCTGGCCTGCTTCCCAGCCCCAGGCAGGGAAGGGGAGAGTCAGAGGGGCTGGGCCCCCATATCCTCTAGCTGACAGGGAAAGCAGCCCATGTATACATGCCTGGCCCAGCCAGGGAGCAGACAGAGGGGTAGGACAAGCAGCTAGGGAAGCCTGAGGGTGAGTTAGGTAGCTGGGTAGCTGGGAGGCAAATTTGAGCTTGAATGAAAAACTGAGTTTATGTATGAGAGGGACTCTGCTGAATTTAACCTAAATATATTTTTCATCATAGTACTCCCCTGCTCAAAAACTTTCATTGGCTCCCTACTGCCTACCAATGTATGCCCATCTTGTCCTTCTGTCTTCCACGTCCCTTCTAAACCTTATCCAAGAGACCTTTCCATCTTATCTCCTATAAGTCTCCGTCATACTCTAGCCAAATTAAACTATTTTTTCGCCAAACCCTTCACTACCTTTGTTAATCCAGTTCTTGCTCCATGGAATGCCATTTACTTTTGCATTCCACAAATATTTATTTAGTACCTACCATATGTCAGGCATTGGGCTGTGAAAATGAATAAGACACAGTCCCTGCCCTGAGGGGCTCACAGTTTAGTGAGTGAGGGCAGACATTATAGTGATTTAATATTGAGGGGAGAGAGATTAATTCTGTCTCAGAAGGCAATACAGAAGTAGGCAAAATTTGATCATGGCCTTGAAGAAGACATAGTACCAATTGGTAAAACCAGCAGAGAGAATGGTATTCTGGGCAAAGGGGAGGCATGAAATATTTTGAGCAGGAGAGTAACAGAATCCAATTCTCATATTAGGGCATGTTGAGGGCCAGGTGGAACATGGGTTGCAGGGGGAGGCTGAGTGCAAGAAGACAGGATAGAAGAGTATGAGGACCCCAAGAATGGGCTTGGGGTTCCCAGTTTGCCTATTTAATGAACATTTATTGAGCCGCCTCTAATCCTTCAGGTACTGTTCTAGGTCCTACCGTTTTCCCCCGAAAATAAGACCTACCCATAAAATAAGCCCAAGCAGGATTTCTAGCATTTGCGCAATAGAAGCCCTAGTCCCAAAATAAGACCTAGTGATGGGCATGGCTACGCAGCATATCTGCACAACTCATGCATTCATCTCAGAGCAGTAAAGAAGACGAGCAGCCCTTCTCATCTGCCCCATGAGAGTTCTGTTGGTCAACATGAGAAATTGGGGCCAATGGTTCTAAAGGAAATAGAGTCGCAAGAAATTCAGGATGGAATTCGGGGTTTGGAGAGTTATGATGCTGTTCCAGAAGAAGACAACTTAACTATATTTGAATAAATGTAGATTGTTGTACTGTACTTAAAAAAAATAGCACATCCCCTGAAAATAAGCCCTAAGGTGTCTTCTTGAGGAAAAATAAATATAAGACCCTGTCTTATTTTCGGGGAAACACAGTACATATGGATGCAGCATTGAATAGAAAACAGCTCCTACTGTTCTGTAGCTCACATGCTAGCAAAGCCCCTATGGCTTCAACGAACCACAGAGAATAAGGCCATTTCAGGTCCATATTGAGGGCTGATATTCAGCAGGCACACACCAGCATGGCTGCATAGGTTAATTAAATATTTTGAAATATTTGTAATCCTGTTGGCATATAGCCACAGCCCCTAGCTCCGGGGTGCCCTTGCCATACCACCTCCTCCCTAGGGACCCTCCAGACCTCATGATCCTTTATCTAAGGGAATAATGCCTGGTATAGCAGGGGCCCCAAGACCCTACTTGAGTGCCTCAGCCAGTTTCAACTCTGATGGGTCGGTGCTTGTGCACCCACTACTGTGTTAAATAGTTGAATAGCTTTACTGTTTCCCCTGTCTAAACCCCTTCTATTTTTCAAGGCTCAGCTCAAAGGCCACCTCCTCCCGGAAACCTTCCTTAACCAGCCTTTCACTACCAATCCAAAAAGATCTCTGGTGCCTTTGAGCCACCACAGTTATTTGCCTGCCCTCAATAATAACCCTGTCCACCATCTAACTCATGAGGGTGATTTATGACATTTTATCTGCTTTAATAGCGTTGAGCTCCGTAAGGGCAGGGTTCAGTATTTGAGTCAGTCTTTTATTCAACAGCCATTATTAATCATTTTCTCTCTGCAGATGACCTTGCCAGGTGTTTGAGAAGTACAAATTGACTAAGATGTCTTCCCTGCCCTCAGGGAGCTCTTTGTCAATTACCTGTGCATGTCAAACCACAACTATCCCAGAAGCATAACATCACATTTTTATGGAAGCCCAAATTATCTGTTTTATCAGAGTGACATATGGTACACCAAAACTTGTATGGCTGAATAACAGGCTGTCTTCCAAGCACTTATCTTAGGAGTAAGTCAGCCTAAGATTCTAGGTTGCCATTTCTGGAACCAAATTAAGAGCCAACTTGTGATCCAGTGTGTATTCTGGATGGTCAGTTGTCTTGGTTAGCTATGTCATTAGCACCCTCCTTGGACCCTGACACATGGAAAGTACATGGTGATATCTGAAATGGATGGGCCTATACAAGACAGGAAGTGGTAATGACCAATCTAATTGAGGTGGAAGAGGTCCTGGGGGCAGAGACACAGCGCCATGCTAACTAGAGTCTGGAAGCTGTATGGCTAGACATGTTTCTCTTCCACCAATCTCAGCTTTAGTTAATTTTTCCTCTTTCCAAATATTCTGAATAGTTCAGTCTTTTTCTTTTTCTATTTTAGATCCATCAGCAACACTTTGTACATGTGTCTGCAGCACTCTTTCTGTCCCCACGCCCCTGTTCTCTCAGTATTTCAGAGCACGGATCTGCCTGTAGGTGCAACGCTCTCTCTATTACAGCTCACTGATTTTCCAAATGCGATTCCCTCTGGCTCTGTTTCTCTCTTTAGCGCTCCTTCTCTGTGTGACCATGTTTCTCGGCTGGGAGGAGAATGTGGACTCTGCCCCTGGATCATGCCTTCACAGCTGGGAGTCTGCCAACCCCTCAAACAGGTTTGAGCTCCCAGAGTTCTTGTTTCCTGAATCTCCCCAGGTTGAGACAGAGTGTACTCAGGCCCGATGGACGAGGACATCTGCCACCTGGTGCAGGACCTCTCTGCACTTGTTATAGAGACCAAGTCTTTGGTCATTAGGGTCTGTGTCTTCAAACACTTAGGGGCCATGTTACTAAAACACATCTCTGCTTATCCCAAGGTTGCAGAGGAGGGAGCAGTGAGGTAGTCTGGGGATTGGGAGCAAAGACCAGTCAAAGCCCTTCTGGGGCCTGGAGGCTGACCCGTAGCTCTGGCCCACTTCACTATCTGTATTCGTTTCCCAGGGTTGTCATAAATTACCACAAACTGCGTGGCTTAAAACAGCAGAAATTTACTTTCTCATAGTTCTGGAGGCCAGAAGTCTGAAGTTAAGGCTTTAGCAGAGGGTCTTCCCTCTCAACACTCTGGGGAAGAATCCTTCTTTGTCTCTTCTATCTTCTGGTGGCTCCAGCCATTCCTTGGCTTGTGGCTGCATAACCCCAATATCTGCCTCCAACCTCACATGACCTCCTCTTGTCCCTATATCTCCACTGAGTGCCTCTTATAGAGATACTTGTCATTGGATTTGGGGCATAGGGAGACAATCCAGGATGATCTCATCTCAAGATCCTTAACATAATTACATGTGCAATCATCTTTTCCCAAATAAGATCACATTTACAGGTCCTGGGGGTCAGGACATAGATATGGACATGTCTTTATGGGAGATGTCTTCATTTAGTCCACTCTCAGCATAGTAGAACTGAAGGGGATGCACAGGATGAGGAGGGATTAGTCTATGTTGGAGACTTTCATGCTTTCCACCCTTATCCCTCTCCATATTATTTGTAGGCCATTTATACATGTATTAATTTATGGGTTCTCTATTCTGTTCTATGGGTCTATGTGTCTATTTTTATGCCAATACCATGCTGTTTCGGTTACCACAGCCTTGTAGTATATTTTGAAGTCTGGCAGTGTGATGTGTGATGCCTCCAGCTTTGTTCTTTTTGCTAGGGATTGCTTTAGCTATTCAGGGTCTTTTGTGGTTCCATAGAAATTTTAGGATTTTTTTCTATTTCTGTGAAGAATGTTATTGGTATTTTGATAGGAATTGCATTGAATCTGTAGATCACTTTGGGTAGCATATCATTTTTAATAACTTTTTTCCTAATTACATAGTAATGCATGCTCAACACAGAAAACTTGGGAAATGGGAAAAGTATGAAAGAACTTAAAAATCACCGTATTTGTCCCAATTATCATTTTAACCTCAGTGATCCAGTGCCTGGCACAGATTAAGTATTTAACACATATTTGTTGAATGAATTATCTTCAGTCTCATCACCCAGAAGTAAAAACCACAATTAACTTTTGTTTAGTTTTTCAACCTTATATATATATATATATATATATATATTTTTTTTTTTTTGAGACAGAGTCTCGCTTTGTTGCCCAGGCTAGAGTGAGTGCCGTGGCATTAGCCTAGCTCACAGCAACCTCAAACTCCTGGGCTCAAGCAATCCTTCTGCCTCAGCCTCCCGACTAGCTGGGACTACAGGCATGTGCCACCATGCCCAGCTAATTTTTTCTATATATATATTAGTTGGCCAATTAATTTCTTTCTATGTATGGTAGAGACAGGGTCTTGCTCTTGCTCAGGCTGGTTTCGAACTCCTGACCTTGAGCAATCCGCCCGCCTTGGCCTCCCAGAGTGCTAGGATTACAGGTGTGAGCCACCGCACCCGGCCTTTTATATATATTTTATATCAAGTGTATGTTATTGTACAAACAGCTTTAGAGCCTGCTTTTTTTTTCTCTCAGCAACATACTTCCTATGTGTGTTTTCCCATATTGATTGCTTTTTTATACTACAACATTGTTCTTAATGCTTTCATATTATTCCTTCCCATACTTTTCCTAAGCAGTTCTCCACCACTGGACATTTAGGTGGTTTCTAGTTTTCTGTTGTTACAAACAACATGGCACCAGACATCCCTGATACAAATGTTTTTGTCCACATATCTATTTCTTTAGGATGTATTCCTAGAAGTGGAATTGCTAGGGCAAAAATGTAGGCACATTTCAAGATTTCTAATACATACTAACAAAATGGCTCTGCCAATGTACCCTTCTAGGACTACTGCCAATTTTTCAAAAGGCCCAAGTAAGGAAAATATACTACATTTTATTTTTGACTAGACAGCACAGACTAATCAACTCCAAACTTTTGCCTTTGGCCAGAATCACATCAATTCCAAATCACTTTGTTAGTTATTGACACCTGCTGAACAGAAGCTAATTGGCTGTCAGATTTTGGATCTGTATGAAACGTGAAAATGACTAACTTAAAACCTATAAACTTTTGTCCAGGGGCCCAAATATTTCAAACCTTGTGACCCCTGAGGGGTCCTAGTAGTAGTGAAAGCATTGGGACCGACTGACCTCCCGCTAGCGTCTGGCATGGGCCCAGGACAGAATGCGCTCTGTAATTATCGCCTCCTTCCCAGCCCTACACATTGGACACTGAGGCCCAGCTAACATCTGCACCCCCAGGTCTCCTAACTCAAAGTCCAGGCTGCTTCCCCAACTTAATGCCACCCAGAGGAGGGCCTCACAGGCACCCCACCCGGCTTTGCCCCGGCCCACCCCGCACACCTACAGCGTCGCCCTTGCGGCGGGGCGGGGCAGGGACCGAGGAATCACCCCCCCTCCCCGGCGTCCGGCCGGCCGCCGCGCATGCTCCGTGCTGCGGTCCCGGGGCGGTTGGAATTTGAATCTCCGGCGGGCTGCGGCCGGAAGTGTAGATCCCTCAGCTCGGCATGGAGAGCCCAGGACTCGGCGCACGGTGCCCAGTGCAAGAGCAGCGAGCCCGCTGGGAACGGAAACGCGCCTGCACCGCCCGGGAGTTGCTGGAGACTGAGCGGCGCTACCAGGAACAGCTGGGGCTGGTGGCCACGGTGGGGGCCTGGATGGGGCGGGGACCCCAAGGTGTGGGAGGGTCTCTGCGAGGTTGGTGACCCCCAAGTATGGTGGTCTTGGGCTTTCCCCCTGTATGTAGGGAGCTCGGGTCGACTTCTACATTTTTCTGGCTGGGCCTTGGCGTTAGCCTCCTCCAGGGTAAGATACCAATATTCCTTCCTTCCGCAGTACTTCTTGGGGATCCTGAAAGCCAAGGGGACCCTGCGACCACCAGAGCGTCAGGCCTTATTTGGGTCCTGGGAGCTCATCTACGGCGCAAGCCAGTGAGTGGAATAAGCCCTGGGAGAGAGAAGGAGGGTGCGCCCTGACCTCTGGCAGTGCACAGAGTTATAGCTTGCAGTCAGAAAGACTCTGGTTCATATTCGGAGCCTGCCAATTAGCTCACCTGCGGCCTTGGCCCAGTGCCTTAACCTGCCGCAGTTCTCCATCTGTAAAATGGGGTAATAGCACTACCACCTCCGGGTAGTGCTAGCTTCATAAGAGGATTAAATGAGGTGGTGCTTGAGTAGTTCTTGGGCTGCCCCTTTACTGACCTTGCCCCACAGAGAGCTGCTTCCCTACCTGGAGGGAGGATACTGGGGCCAAGGGCTAGAAGGCTTCTGCCGCCACCTGGAGCTCTACACCCAATTTGCTGCCAACACAGAGAGGTCCCAGACCACCCTGAAGGTAATCTGAAATGACCTCAAATCTGTCCCCTCCTCCTCTCTTGACCCTTACATTTCCTCTTAATCTGGAGACCCAAACTCCATTCGTACATTTCCTGCATTTACAGAGCCCTCTGGGTGCCCAGCTTTGGGCTAAGTTCCCTGTAGGGAGACAGGGTTTCTCTCAGGAGCACACAGCTTACCGAAGGCTGGGAAAGTGTACACAGATGAATGCAATAAAAGGAGTGACTTGTCTCCCTGCAGCCAACCCTTTCCCCCACCAGGAGCAGCTAAAGAAAAACAAACGTTTCCGGAGGTTTGTTCAGCTTCAGGAAGGCCGCCCTGAGTTTGGAGGCCTTCAGCTCCAGGATCTGCTCTCCCTGCCTCTTGAGCGGCTCCAGCAGTGAGTGAACTCACCTTGATTCAAACCAACCTCTCTGCGTCTGTATGAATGCTGCCCTCAGCTTTGTGGGATGCCTTGGGGTCTATCCCAATCCCCTGCCTCTCCCTTGAGCCAAATTGCTTCAAAAAACCTTTTGCAAGTAAATGTGAACCCACTGGAGTACCCAGGGTCTGCAGCCTCAGGCCCTCAGCTGGGACCATGGAACTCTACATTGAAGTGAGGGGCCTGTACTAGGGCCTCAGACAAAATATCTGGGAAAGTTTGTTGATAAGGGGGCTGCCCAAGGTTAGAATTTCTGTCTCTGGGTTAAGCCTGAGTGAAGAGCTTATAGTCAGGTTGTCTGTAGCATCCTCCTTGGGTTGATTGACTTTCACTTTCCTAGCTGACCTCCCAAACTATGGTCAGTCTGCCATTGATTCTTAAGTGTGGTGTGCAAGAGGGCCATGTGGTGTGAGCCCAAGCTCTGAGTCCCAGATGAAAGAGGGGGATATAATAGCCAGAAGCAGATCTTTCGTGGCCTTGCAACTGAAGTATGTGTAGGGGGTGATCTTTGTATCAGATGGGGGAATTTTGCCAGCTCTACCTCCTCTCATGACATCCCACTGCACAATTTCAGGTATGAGAATCTCGTCGTTGCTTTGGCTGAAAACACAGGTCCCAACAGCCCTGACCACAAACAACTCACACGTAGGTTCTTGCTCTTCTGCAGCTCAGGCAGGAGACTTCCTCTCCTATATCCTTTCCTGATTCTGACATCCAACAATGTCTGGTATGTCCCTGTCTTCCATCAACATGTATACAGTGTCCCTATTACCCTGCCTTTTCTTCAAGAAGTTAGACCCTGACCCTGGTTTCCTCCAAGTGTTTTTCACTACCACCAGTCACCCAAAGTCAAAATTGTGTTGGGAGTGAGGTGGGGGATTTTCTTGCAGGGGCTGCCCGGCTGGTAAGTGAGACTGCCCAGAGAGTCCACAGCATTGGTCAGAAACAGAAGAATGACCAGCACCTCCGGCGTGTCCAGGCTCTGCTCAGTGGACGCCAAGCAAAGGGGCTTACCTCAGGTAGTCTGCGTATTTCCCCACCAGTCCTCAACTGCCCCTCTCTTACCCCTCTTCCTCTATAGAGTCAGCACATACCCCTATTTTCTCAGCCCCCCTTTCCTTCTATCCCATGGGTCCTGGAGCTGCACCAGAATAATACCTCTCCCATCCCTCAGGGCGCTGGTTCCTACGCCAGGGCTGGCTGCTGGTAGTGCCTCCCCGTGGGGAGCCTCGGCCCCGCATGTTCTTCCTCTTCTCTGATATGCTTCTCATGGCCAAGCCTCGACCTCCATTGCACCTGCTGCAGAGTGGCACATTTTCCTGCAGGGCCCTCTACCCCATGGCCCAGTGTCAACTCCAAAGGGTATTTGGCCACTCAGGAGGCCCTTGTGGTGGACTGCTCAGTGTAAGTAATGGGTGGGAACCCTAGGCCCAAAATCTCTCTTAAACGCTTATGGACCAGCTTATCTCCTTGGCCTGGGTCCCTTTTTGTAGGAATAGAACTGTCTACACATTGAGAGGATTGCTGGGGCTGGGGTTTGGGCTTGATGTTTAGTTCTCATCTCATCCTTGAATTACCTCCATGGAAACAGCGAAGGTTTCAGCTTTTGCCTGGACCTTTCTGAGCCATGCACTAAGAGGTGGTCTCTCCTTAGCTGTCCTTCCCTTACGAGAAGCTACTGCTCATGTCCACAGACCAGGAGGAGTTGTCACGCTGGTACCACAGTCTGACTTTGGCTATCAAGTAAGTTTAGCCTTCCCTCAGGAACAGTGCTGTGATGAGGCCCACAAGCTGGAAATGAGCAGTTCTGATCCTATTTCATGACCTTACATCTGTCTGGGACGCCTGCCCCCAATCCCACAGGTGATCTTGTCTGAATAGAGTGCTCATGCTAGTGCTTGGACTAACTGACTTCTCTCCATAGCAGCCAGAAGAACTAGAGGAATCTTACAAATTGCGCAACTCAGGATACTTCGGGAATAGGTCAGAGCCAGGGGTACAAAGGAATCGTCTTCAGTATTAAACAAAACACAGAACCCTTCATGGTTTGACAAGGGTCATTTTGTGTTTTCCTGGGACTAAGCTACTGTGGGTCATTTGACCCGGCTCCTATGAATCAAGACCCAACTGAACCTTCGCGGAACCAGGCCCTGACAGAAATGAGGGGACTTGGGACTGATGAACTTGGTGCTGTGTCTATGGCCAGTCATTTATCAAGGTTGCAGTTTTGTAAATGTGGCTATTTTTATGTTGTGTTTCTATAGTTTATTTTTTCACTGGATTTTAGTAAAGTGATTTTTTTTTTCTTGGAAAGATCTTTCTGTCTCAGCTTTGCTATGAGAAAAGGGATTTTCAAGCCCCGAAGCCTGGCATGCTGGTGGCCTCAGGAATACCAGGAAAAGAACTGGAGCTCCCTCTATCTTCTCTGCTCTCACACTGGAAGGCAGCCTCTTTTTGTCCTAATAAGGGAAGCTTTTCAAGAAGGCCCAGTTGTCCTTAGGCACCTAGTATGGGTGTGTACGACCAGCTGGGATGGAAAAAGCACACAGAAGCACCCAGTCACAACAACAGACTTTGTTTTAATGAACCTTCAGCTGTGGTCCCTCCTTCCCGGCTGGGGCTGTGATTGGGGCCCTTTGCTGCAGCCCTGCTGCACCTTCTCCTTAGCCCCTGCTCCACCTCCCAGGAAGTGGCTAGGTTCCATGTCTCTGTGCTCCAGTTTACAGGGTCCTCCTCATACTCCTGTAGACATAAGTCCTCAGGAAAGGGTATGCTGGCTTCTGTGAGGGGAAAGATCAAGTGTGTTCCAGTTTCAGAGACTTTGTCTCCACCTCCACCAGACTCACCTCCCAACCCTTTACCTGGTTCTGGAACCTCCATGCCCTTGTCTGGCTTGTTATCTTGGAGCAGCTGGTGAATGGTCCATAGCTTCATGTTCAGAAGCTCCTGTTGGGCTCCAGCCAGAGTAGTTACACTGCAGAAATGTCCACTCAGGGGCTGCCCAATCTATGTCCCCATTCCTTTCATCTGCCCCAATCTCCCCACAAATTCACAGGTCATTGCTCTCCTCACCGCTCAAAGAGGGGGTCCAGCTGGATCACCAGATTGTTCAGGTGCTGCTCTGTCTGGGCCACTTGTTGTGTCAACTGAGCCAGCTGTTGCTCTGGAGGTAAGGGGGACAATGGTTACTTATCTTCTGCTGTCCCCTGATCTCTGCCCACCAAGCACAGATATCTGTTAAACCCACCTAACTGCAACGATTGCTTCTTCCCTGCCTCCTCTTGGAGAACTGCAGTCTCATCTTTCCCCTGCTGTGGAAGAAGGAAGGGCAATACTGCAGCAACAAAGTTCTGCTCCATCACCCCAATCTCCAAAGCCAGTCAGGAGAGGAGCACAATTTGAGGTACAGAAGGCTACTGGGTTTTCAAGTCAGAGGATCACAATCCTTCTAGTCTAGCTCTTCACCCAGGACATGAAGCAACTTGTTAGTATGCACCACACATGGTCATTCAGTCTACTGAAACACTACCAGGAATGAGCAACTCTCCCCAGTTTGATAAAGCTGTGGTTGTTAGATAGCTCATATACAAAGACATAATTTGTCCTTCATGTATTTCTTTCAATAGTGCTGATTAGAGACTTCCAAAATTATGTCTCTTCAACATGATAGCCCCTCAGAAATTTGAAGACAATGGTTATATACCCCACCCTCTTTCCCAGGTTTTTTCTGGTTTAGTATCTTCAGTGTTTTCAGTCAGTGCTCATTTCACATGTTTTTTTCTGGTTGCTTTACTGAGCATTTTGTATTCTTAAAGCAGTGCCCTGAGGAGAATAAAATTCTCCAGGAGTGTTATAATCAGCAAATAAAGTACAATACCTGTTCCTAGCATTGACTTGGGTAGTGGTTGTCACATCACATAATGCACTTACTAGTCAACTGGAATACCTAAGTCCCTTTCATAAGAGCTGCTAAGTTACGTTTCTTCCATACTGTACTTGGGTCAATAATAGAATTTATTAATCTATTCTTGTTAAATTTCATCATTAAATTCAGTCCCATGATCCTATCCTGTCGAATCTACTTGGGATTACTATTAGCTGTCTCTTCTAGTTTCATATGTCCACATTGGTTCAACCCTCTATTTCCTAATGCAAACGATAGGGGTCAGGGTTAAAGATACAGCACAGAGAGGTACTACTTTCCATTTCAACTAATTCAGTCCACCAAAATGTACTGTCAACTCACACCTCAGGACTTCCTTCCCAAGGAGAATGTGAGACCACTTGGCATCTTGAACTCTAGAAACACAGTGAGTGCAGCAAACCGCTTGTGCCAAGGTTGGGACTGCACTATCATAGTATGGACACTAGCTGGGTTCAAATCCCAGCTCCACCAGTTACTAACTGGGTGACCTCGAGCTCTGTGGATTGTAGGAGGATTAAATGTGAGGATCATTATTTATTCACAGTTTCACTACGCACCCTTCACATCCGTTACCTCGTAGGATCCTCAAAATAATCCCATACTGTTGGAAATCCAAGGAACGTGTCTTGTTCTTGGTACCACAGTGCCCCCATGGGAGATTCAGGTCCAGGGCACCCCCACCCCCAGCCATCCCGCACCTGCAAACACTTGTACAGCACAAAAGCCACGACGGCCGCGGTGTACAGCGCCCCTAAAGGCAGCTCCCCAGTCCTGGCCCGCTCGCGCTGGTCCTTGGGCGGCGACTGCCGCCGGGCTTCTGTGGCCCCAGAGCCGACCTGGGCTGGGTTCCCTGCAGAGGGAAGGCAGAGGCGGGTCAGCTGACCTGAGGCCTGGGACCTGTGGGTAGTCCCAGCCTCCCTCCAGCAGCCCTCGCTGGTACCTGGGTGTGCCTGGAAGTCGGGGTTGGCACGGTCTCCGAGGACCCCAGGCAGAGCAGACACAAGTAGCAACCCCAGCACGCCAGAAAGCGAGAGCGCGCCCGCCATTGCCGGCCCACACACTGAGGGTCCCGGCAGCGCCAGCGCGCACGCGCACACGCGCAGCTGAGTAGGTCTTGCTCCGAAGTGGCCACGCCTACGTGGGGCGGGACCAGAAAGTATTTCCATAAAGCCATGTCATTCTGGTTTTCCCAAATTTGTTTTTATCTATTTAGGCATTCCAATAAGCACAGTGCATCTAGAAGCCTGCTATCTTAGAGAAATGTCCCAAAAAATGGTTGGTTTTTATATTCCACACAACCAAATTTCTCACCGTAACCAAAAGATAAAATTTCTGTTAGACCTATAAAAAGGTAGCAGAATAAGAACCAGGGAATAGGTCGCGCTGAAGGCCTGTTTCCTAGGCTACAGACGGAGGACTAGTTCCTCATTCTTCTGCCTAGGGGAAAGTCCCCGGACCTCCGGCAGAGAGTGCCGCGTGCACGCGCACGCAGACATCCCTCAGCTTTCCACTGTAAGGACCGCCAAGAAGCGAATCCCGCTGAGCGGCGTGGCGGCGTGGGGTGTCACCCGTCAGCTAATGCTAGTTACGCAGGCAGTGCGTCTTCGCGCACCAACCACACGGGGCTCATTCTCAGTGCGGCCACCTTTTTATTCGTGGTTTTGAGTTCCCTCCTTTTCAAAGTAAAGACCGGCTTCTCACGCCCCTAGTACATCCCGGGATCCTAACGTTTGGAGCCCCCTATTACTATAACGGCCTCTTCTTCTACCGCCCTCTTCATCTGCCAAATGCCAAAATAGCCGCCGTTTATTGTGTAGCATGGTTATTGGTCTCTGCCTGGGCTGGTAATACTGCCTCCTGTGCTCAAGAGCAGGTGACTTCGGGAAAGTTAATTACTCTCTCTCCGTGCCTTCGTTTCCACTCTGAGGAACGGGGATAATGATAATGTGCATGTACCGCAAGAGTTGTTATGACGGTTAAATCGGATAATCTAAGTAAAGTGCTCGGAACCGTGCGTAATAGTGATTAATCGCAGCTACCGTGAGGCAGGCGGATGAAATGACAGAGACTCCAGGATGTTCCGCCGCTATTCCCTTTCTGCACAGTTGACTTCTACGTAACCTTCAGCTCGTGTGTTCCCTTCATTCAAAGCCCTTAACCCAACTTCTGATTTATTCCTTAGTGCAACTATTTTACTTTCTTCATCACCACTAGACTGTACCACCAGGGCAGGGGCCACGTCTCTTTTTTTTCCTCACCTTTTTTACTCTCAGAGCCTAGCACAGCGCCTGGCTGTAGCAGCCACTCAGTGAATCCTTGCTGAATGAGATTAATGAATGTTCAAAGCGACCCCCAAAGGGTAATACAATAAAGCTCTTTCAAAGAATGAGGAAACTACCAGTCAGGAAGGTTGAGTAAGCTATTAATCAGGTAAGTGGCAGGGTGGCGATTCCAACTCTTCTGCCTCTCAAGACCATCTGTTTCACCAGCCTTTTCCTCTCCTTGCCTTCCACGACCTCTCCAGGCCGACAGGTATTCCTCTCTGTTTCACATCGCCTTTTCATTGTCTGGTATACACACAGGATCATCTTCCCAAATAGACCAAAAGCTCTCTGAGGAAAGAAACCATGTTGCATTCACATTGCTATCTGCAGAGCTTGGCACATAAACAGGCAGTCGGTACATGTGTGTTAAATACATGAGTGAAATATTGGTGTGTCTTCTTGTTTTTCCAGAAAGCAAGGGGGCAGGGCAGGGCAGCGAGATGCCTGCACTCGGGGGAGTTGTCATAGTCACCAGAGGCAGCCTGGATATGCAGATCAGGGTAATCCAAACCCTCAATCTAAGGCAGTTGGCAAGTAAGAGGTTCAGGTCAGTGTAATAGGATAAGTGGTCCCTACTGATTGTTGCCTTTTTTAGGAAACTCGGGCATTCCTGCCAGATCTTCTGATATTTTTCTTCTTTCAAAACAATCAACAAAATTTAAAAAAAAAAGGATTTTTTTTAAATTATGAAAGTGGGGGTTGAGAGGAGGGGGGTTGTTCAGCTTCCTTTTTTTGTTGTTGTCGAGACAGAGTCTCATGCTGTTGCTCTGAGTACAGGGTAGTGGCATCATTGTAGCTCACAGCAACCTCCAACTCCTGGGCTCAAGTGATCCTCCTACCTCTCAGACTCAGGCATGGCTGGGACTACAAGTGCATGCCATGATGCCTGGCTCATGTTTTTCTTTTTGGTAGAGACAGGGGTCTCACTCTTGCTTAGGCAGGCCTCAAACTCCTGATATCCCGTGATCCCCCTGCCCCACCTACCCCCACCCAACTCGGCCTCCCAGAGTGCTAGCAAGATTACAGGCCACCCCCCCCCCAGGATCTTTTATGTATTTAATGAGGATCTCACTATTTTGCACTCAAGCCAGGGCAACAGAGTGAGACTCTATCTCAAAAAAAAAAAAAAATCATTTAATCAACTATAAGTAAGGATTGACAAGTCTGGTTATATTTTCTATCGAATATGCAAAGATTACTTTTGACAAATTTGCAGAAGGATCATAAAAGAAATTGTAATAATGCTAGTCACTACTCAGACTGAGCAATATGTAGGTGTAAGTTTTTTACTCCTTTTTTCAAAAAATACAATAATATAATTAGGAAGTATTAACCTATTACCTTTTCTTTTCTTGTTCTGTAATGTTTAATTTAAAAATGTTTAATTATATGTATGTATATATGATACACACACATGCATAACAACATTTCAGTCAACAAAGGACCACATATATGATATTGATCCCATAAGATTATAACACCTTATTTTTACTGTGCCTTTTCTATATTTAGATACTCAAATATTTACCATGGTGTTACAGTTGCCTACACTATTCCATACAGTAACATGCTGTACAGGTTTGTAGCCCAGGAGCAATAGGCTATACCATATGGCTTAGGTGGCTAGTAGGCTATACCATCTAGGTTAGTAAAAACATACTCTATGATGTTTGCACAAGACCATACCACCTAATGTCACATTTCTCAGTAGGTATCCCTATCATTAAGCAGTGCATGATTGTATTTTTATACCGGCATGATTATATCTACAAAGTTCAGTAAAAGAAAATATTTACTGGCCGGGCACGGTGGCTCACACCTGTAATCCTAGCACTCTGGGAGGCTAAGGCAGGAGGGTCAGGAGGATCCTGATCAAGGTCAGGAGTTCGAAACCAGCCTGAGCAAGAGTGAGACCTGTCTCTACTAAAAATAGAAACAAATTAATTGGCCAACTAAAAATATATAGAAAAATTTAGCCGGGCATGGTGGCACATGCCTGTAGTCTCAGCTACTTGGGAGGCTGAGGCAGGAGAATTGCACGTAGGCAGAAGAATTGCATGTAGAAGATTACATGCCTGTAGTCCCAGCTACTCGGGAGGCTGAGGCAGAAGGATTGCTTGAGCCCAGGAGTCTGAGGTTGCTGTGAGCTAGGCTGACGCCATGGCACTCTAGCCCAGGCAACAGAGTGAGACTCTGTCTCAAAAGAAAAAAAAAAAAAAAGAATTGTGAATAATAAATGGTCATAATAAAAAGAGAACTGATTTTTAGTCTATTTTATTTTTTAGTCTGTTTTATTTTTTAAATCCTCTATGGACAATGCACCCTTTATTGCCTGCAACCCAAAAGGCAAGACTTCTCCTGCCACCCACATTGTCAGCCACTGCAAAGAATTGAAATTTTAAAAAAATGTATGGGCCAGACAAAACACATCTCTGACTTCTGGTCTAGGGTTTATATTTGGAACTTAAAACCTCTCTTCCTACAACAATAGCCTCCCACGTGGTTGGACTATCGGTAGGCACAGCAGGTACTCCACTCCCTGAAGTGAACAAATGCAAAGACAGGGCTCAGTTTCCCAAGATAGTCCTGGGGCAGAGATTTCTTTAATGCAATTAACTATTGAGAGGGACAGTTCTTAGGGACAATTTGGATGGAGTGGGTCAGGGGTGGGGAATCTAGCTTTCTCTGTGCCCCAAACTGTAATACTATTGATAGTATTAATAACAATGACAAGGACCATCTAGACACCTGTTCTCAGATCAGCCTTTGGGTGTGATGGGATTGCAGGTACCCGGAGGGGTGCCCTCCACACCTTTCCACTTTATAGGATGCTCTTTACAGAATACTTTCTCCCCCATGGGACTCAGAGCCGCGAGGAAGGGGGGCATCCTGGGGCAGAAGGTGTGCTCCTGTCCTTACTGGTCCTGCTTCAGGCCACTTCTGCCCCCCAGAGTCTTCAGTGGCTCACCTGCATGTGGCACTCTCAAGCCTGCTTTTCTTCTTGAAGGGGGCACAGGACCATGGGGGTTGGGGTAGCTTGGGAGCTGCAGGAGTGGCGCAGGTGCAGGCACAGGGCGGGTTCTTTGTTCTTTTGCTCATCCCTGCCCTCCCCCTTCCTCCCCCTTCCTCCCCGGAAACCAGTGACTTTGCCACTACCAGTATTGGGGATGCTGAGCGGTGGGGGCCAGGCCCAGGGCAGGGTGGGGGTGAGGGGGGCTGGGGCAGGTGTCAGGACATGAACGGGACCTACCCTTGGCTCTGGGCAGTGCTCGTGGACTTGGCTCTCACATCAGCAGTCATGAGCGGAGGTTGCAACTGCACCGATCTACCATGGCTGGGTGAGCTGGGCGGGGCAGGGGCTCCCAGGGGAGGGGTCAAGTGGCCCCACATCCCACTTGCTGGGACCTGGGGGTTGGGCTGGGCAATAACATCCCTCATCCTCTCATAGCCACAGGAATCCCCTCCATAGGCTGGGCCTGGGGACTGTGGGCCCTCCTAGGGGCTGTGACGCTGCTGCTTCTCATCTCACTAGCTGCACACTTGTTCCAATGGATCAGTGGCTGGGGCAGGGGCCATCTGAGGCAGGGACGGTGAGTGAGGACAACAAGGATGGGTTGATTGAGAGTTCCCGCTTACCGAGGAGTCCCCACTCATCCCCTAAACTCTGTTGCAGCTCTGGAGGGTCTGTGGAAGAGGTCCCCCTGTATGGGAACCTGCATTATCTCCAGACAGGTAGGGAGCCGCAAAGGGAGGGGCACAGAGGCCAGGTCCTGGGTGGGTGGGATGAGGATTTGCAGGAGGAGGTAGACGCAGCTGACCGGATTCCTGTTCCCTGCCCAGGACGGCTGAATCAAGAACCAGGGCCAGACCAGCAGGATCTAACCCCTGGAGGCCCTGCCAGGGTGAGTCAGCTATGGCTGGAGAAAAGGGGAGGGAAGGAAGTGGGGGCTTTTTCAAGGGTCCAGTGAACTTGTAATGGCCTTGCATCTCCAGGCTGCGGAGGAGGTGACGTGCTATACCAGCCTGCAGCTTCGGCCTCCTCAGGGCCGGATCCCCACCCCTGGGACTCCCATCAAGTACTCAGAGGTGGTGCTGGATTCTGAGCCAAAGCCCCAGGCCTCGGGCCCCGAGCCAGAGCTCTATGCCTCGGTGTGTGCCCAGACGCGCAGGGCCCGGGCTTCCTTCCCCGACCAGGCCTACGCCAACAGCCAGCCTGCGGCCAGCTGAGACGGAGCCTGGCACAGCGGGACACGCGCTGCCCAGCCTCCCCTGGAGCAGGGGCATGACTGTTCCCCAACCAGCCCCCAAAGACAGGGCGCCATTGCCTAGTCACAGGATGTGATCTGCCCTGAACTTCCTATCTGAGCTGTGAGGAGACATCTTGGGTAAACTGTTTCTTGAGGATGGAGGAGACAACGCCAGTGGCCCCATCCCCACCTCATTTTTCTATCTGTTCCTCTCAGCCCCTAAACTCCCCAGTTCTCACTTCCACCTCCTTCTGGAGTTTAACCAGATCCTCCCTGACCCCATAGTCTACCCCTGACACCCCAGTGTCTCTTCAGGCACAGGAAGTGGGCAGTGGGGGAAGGGGTAAGAGCCTGAGAGGACGTGGGTGGGTATGTCCCTTGGAAGCTCACAGGCTGGAGGGGTCCTGGAACTCAGAGACCTGAGGGACTCGAGCCTGGCTTCTGACCTTCTGGGAACCTTGACAGTTCTTCACCCTGCTGTCTCTGTTATGTCCCCAAATTTTCAAATAAAACTTCTCAAAAAGTGTTCAGATTTTACCTGGAGGGCTGTAGACTGGCAACAGGCCCCATAGGTGAGGATGTGAGCTTTGCTGTCTGCACAGAGCACTTCTGGGGGTGCCTAGTGGGGTACAAAGGGCCAAGAGGGGCTGCCACACCAGCACTGCAGAGGTGGGTGCCGGGGTGGAGGCTGAAGCCCAGCTCCTCAGCTGCTCTTGCAGCTGCCAGGATCTGCCCTCAGAGCCACCACACTCCCCCTGGGCCTGCAAGTTCATCAGCCCCTGACTACTCTCCCATGACCTCTGTAACTCTGCCGCCACCACCACAACCTGCCAACCTAGCCTCCCTCGTCCCCCAGGAGTCCCACCTATAACCCTGTTTTGGCATCAGTAGCCCCATCTGCACGCTCATCGAATACCACCATGGGCCCTCTCCTTACCACATCACTATAGCAACAGTCCACTCCATCTCTGCTTCACTGTCTCAACTGTCACTCACAATCCTGGTAACAGCTTTGCTTGTCATCACTTTCATTTTAATCCCCATCCAATCAGCTCTGCCTGTCCACCCATCATCTGCTTGATTCTTAACTCCAGCCTCCTACACCACGTAGCATGCTGCAGTAGGCAGGGTGGCACAGAGATTAGAACTGTGGGCTTGGGAGCCGGACTGCCTGAGTTGACATTCCATGTCTACTACTTACCAGCTGTGTGTTCTTGAGCAACTGGGCCTTGGTTTCTGAATCTGTAAAATGGGGAGATCTATAAGATGGGGAATCTGTATTAATGGTGTCTATTTTTTAAAAGGCTGTTGTGAGGTTTAAATGAATTGCTATAAGTAGAGCACTTAGAAGACAATGAGTGCTCAATAATGCTAGATATTACCAAAATAAGAGAAATGCAGGGTCCTCTATAGGAGCTCATAGGTGAAGTGACTTGTAAGGAGGCACAGGACACACAGTAGGAGTCTGCAGCAAGAACTGAAGGACAGAGACGTTCCAGGCCGAAGGAACCACAAGGCAAAGGAGAGGCTTCTTTGGAGGAGCTGACAGAAGTGCATTCAGCATGCCTGGAGGGATAGGGTTGGGGTTTTGGGTAGGGTAGGGTAGGGTAGGGTTAGGAGGAAATGGCAAGATGAGGCTGGAGGGGTGGACTGAAGCCAGATCACACGAGGCCTATAAACCATGCCAAGGAGTTTGGACTTTATCCTGTTGGTGAGGTGAAAGGTAGTCACTGAAGGCTTTTAAGCAAGGGATGAACACAGTCGGATATGGGCTCTAGCTCTGCCAGCTGCTGCGTTGGTTGGGAGGCCAGCAGACTGCGTCAAGCCATGCCTTTTGGAAGCTGTTGCAAAGTCTGAGAGGAAATGGTGACAGTGGCAATGAGAATGGAGAGGAGGAGACAGACTACAAAGAGATGTTTAGGAGGTTAAACAAAAAGGTCCTACCTAGCACACCTTCCATCTTTCTGGTTAGAGCCGGTAACATTCCCCACTCCCAATTCCATGGCAATCTCTCTCTCTCTGTCTTTCTCTCGCTCTCTGTTTCTCTCTGTCTCTGTCTCTCTCTCTCTCTCTCACACACACACACACACCCGCCTTAGTCCTTGCACTCCATTGGTTGCTCCTCCCTCCTTCCCTGTAGCCTGTGATCCGTCTCTCCCTGTGGGGAAAGCTCCAAGCTGGCGAACTCCTTCTTAGATATTTCCCAGAAGTCTAGGCCGTCTCCCCCTAGGGCCTCTGTAGAGGCAGGTCCGGCTTGACAGACCTTTTTGAGGTTTGGGGGCAGAAGAAAGAGGAAGCTGAGGCTTTCATTTCCAAGTTTCTCTCCTTCCCACTTAGAGCGCCAGAGAAAACCATCCAGGAGGGAACCGTGCACCTGATTGAGGCCTGGTGGTTCCAATGAGAAGGTGACCCCACATCCCCAGAAATGCCCCGGGGTCCCTGGACCTCTGAGAACCCCAGCCTAAGCCTCCCCAGGAGACGCCCAGGCCGCGGTTAGGGCAGGCAGCTGGAGCTGCGTGGGAGGGAAGGCAGCTTTGGGGGCGGACACCGGATGCGGGGAACCACCGGCAGCGGGAAGTGGGGTTCTGAGCGAGGCTATGCTACTCAAGATGGCTCAGTGTGTTCGCGCCAGGAGGACGTGACAACTCTACCCAGGGAGAGGCAGGAATCAGAGCCTGGAATCAGAACTGAGGGGTCAAACGCTCCCAACCCTGGCGGCAGACCTCCACTCCCAAACCCGCCCTCCCGGCCAGCCGCTCCCTGCTGCGCTCGCTGCCTCTGTCCGCTCACGACTGAGCCTTAGCGCCCCCTCCTGGCGAGACACGGAATCGCCGCCGCCTCTGCGCAGGCGTATTGCTGCCTGGTCCGCGGCATCCCGGGAGTTGTAGTCCCGCGATTCCGGCCGCCCGAGAGCGCAGGCCCGGCGGTCCCCGGCAGCCGCCCCCTAAGTTCGCAGAGTGTGGCCAACTCTCTCCGTCTGGAGATGGATGACATGACTGCCCCCCCAAACAGTCGCTTGTAAATTGAGTTTCTGTAAAAAACAATTTTATTTTTCATGTGTAACTGTAGCGAGTTATGATTTCAACTTTGTTTTCCTTCCAGTCCCCAAAGTCCGGATCCTCTGTCTTCTCTCTCTACAACCATTCAGTTTTTTTTACCTTCTTAACTTGTCTCCATCACCGAGACTCGTGCTGAGAACCAGGCCCTCAGCACTGAACACCAGCACTGTAGCAGCTTCCTAATTGATCCCTGAATCTAGGAACTTAAGTTGGGGCAGCCAGATCCTCCTCAAACGCCTTCGGAGGGTCACCCTTGCCACACCTCTCTAGCCAGTCAATTTGTCCTACCGAATACCTGTTATTTCTCTCCCCCTCCTATTTCTCTCCCCCTCCGTAACTCCAGGTGCTTTCCTCAGTGGACTCTTTTGCCTCACCGGTGTACGATTCCAGCCAGAGGGAGCGCCTGTCCTAGGCAAATTCCCAGGGGGCAGACCCTTAGGGGGACCCACCAGGGTCCTTTGCGGTCTCAACTTTTCCCCTCTTCCTGAGATCCCAGCAGGGAGGACAGGGATAAACTTAAGACCTGAAGAGTAAGGGTCTTTGGGATAGTCAAAGGTTCAATGACAGGAAGTTCTTAAGGAATTACTTACAGGTTGGGAGGGGTCTCAGAAGCTATCCAACACTGCTCTGCTCTGCAGTCTGCCAAAGATGTGTGTAAACTTCCAAGCTGGTTTTGGCTACAGGGAAGGAAACAACTGGAACGTGGAGAGAGACCACGTCTTTTTTTTAAAAAAAATTTATTTTTAATTATTATGAGTATGTAATAGGTGTATAGCTTTATAAAATACCTATGATGTTTTGATACAGATATACAATGTGAATTAATTAAGTCAGAGTAATTGGGGTATCCATCACCTCAGGTATTTTACATTTCTTTGTGTTAGGAAGATTCCAATTCTCTCTTTTAGTTATTTTATTTTATTTTTTTGGTAAAGAAAACAGTTTAACTTTATTTAATACCAAATGTTTTCCAAATTTACTTTTCACAAAATGCACTTTTGGGACAATGTATGGTTAAAAAACAATATTCTACAAATAATTTGTTCAACAGTGCTCTAGATCATCCTAAAAGAAAAAGGAACCAAAAGGACAAGGACACCAATCCTCTAGAAATTCAAGACCTGGTAGATAGTCTCTCCCATGGATGAGGACGCAGGTCCTAATTTGCCTCTGTGAGCAGATTCTCTGATCTCAGCTGGGCCTTCCTTATACTCTCCAAGTTCAGTTGTTGATATTTTCTTCTAAAAAAGCCACACTGAAAAGACAGTGGGAAAGTCCAATTACAGGCCAAAGGTATCATTCTTGAACAGGATGACTATGAGCACAATCAAAACCAGAAGGCCACCAACACTGCTTCCAGTGACGTTCGGCACAGAATGGTACTCTTCATTTTTCAGGAAGATGATAGTGATCTTAGTTCTGTGGTGCTCTGTATTAAGCCCCTCATACAGAGATCTTTTGAAAGATATTTCCCCTAGGGTCTGCAGTTCAGTTATCTATCTTAGCCACTGCTTAGCGTGACCAAAGGAGATCTCTGCAGCCACATTTTCTTTATCTGAAGTGATGACACAGTTCACTGAATACCATTCTTCCATGTGCTGAACCAGACTGTCTACAAGCGAGTCCTGACTCCGAGCGTACACAGTGTAGGCCTGAAACAAGAGCCATTCCAGTTCCCGTGAAGAACCTGAGCAAACTGCCATGGTTCTCTGTCCCCTCTGGGCTCCTTTAGTTATTTTAACTTATTGTTGATTATATCACCTTGTGGTGCTAGCAATATTATTCATTCTACCTATTTAACTATATTTTTGCATCCATTAACCATCCTCACTTTATCCCTCCATCCCTGATACCATTCCCATGCCTGTAGGAACCATCATTCTACTCTGTCTCCATGTGAACAATGGTTTTTAATATTTAGCTCCCACATATAAGTCAGAACATATGAAATTTGTTTTTCTGTGCTTGGCTTATTTCACTTAACATGATGTTCTCTAGTTCCATCTATGTTGTTGCAAATGGCAGGATTTCATTCTTTTTGTGACTGTATAGTATTCCATTGTATATCTGTACCACACTTTCTTTATCCATTCATTTGTTGATGGACACTTAGGTTGATTCCAAATCTTGGCTATTGTGAATAGTGCTGCAATAAACACTGGAAATGCAGATATCTTTTCAATATACTGAATTCCCCTCCTTTGGATATATACCAAGCAGTAGGATTGCTGGGTCATATGGTTGTTCTATTTTTAGTTTTTTGAGGAACCTCCATACTGTTCTTCATAGCAGTTGCACTAATTTACATTCCCACAAACAGTGTACAAGGGTTCCCCTTTCTCCACATCCTTGCCAGCATTTGTTACTGCCTATCTTTTTTTTCTGAAAGCCATTTTGACTGGAGTGAGATGATAGCTTATTGTAGTTTTGATTTGCATTTCTCTGATGACTAATGATGTTGAGCACTTTGTCATATACCTGTTGGCAATTTGTATGTCTTTTTTTTTTTTTTTTTGAGACAGAGTCTTGCTTTGTTGTCCAGGCTAGAGTGAGTGCCGTGGCGTCAGCCTAGCTCACAGCAACCTCAAACTCCTGGGCTCAAGCGATCCTACTGCCTCAGCCTCCCGAGTAGCTGGGACTACAGGCATGTGCCACCATGCCTGGCTAATTTTTTTTATATATATATCAGTTGGCCAATTATTTTTCTTTCTATTTATAGTAGAGACGGGGTCTCGCTCTTGCTCAGGCTGGTTTTGAACTCCTGACCTTGAGCAATCCGCCCGCCTCGGCCTCCCAGAGAGCTAGGATTACAGGCGTGAGCCACCGCGCCCGGCCTGTATGTCTTTTTTTGAGAAATGTCTATTCAGATCCTTTGCTCATCTTTAAATTGGATTATTTGAGTTTTTCTTGTTGAGTTGTTGGGGAGCTCCTTATATATTCTAGTTATTAATCCGTTGTCAGATGGGTAGTTTGCAAATATTTTCTCCTATTCTGTGAGTTGGAGAGACCAAGTCTTAATGACTTCATCTGAAACCTGGGATCCAACCATGCCCAGAAGTAGATCTGCCTTCTGATCTTTTTGGTTATGTAAGCTAATAAATTCCCTTTTTTGCTTAAGTCAAAGTTAGGTTTTCCATCTCTTGGAACCATGAGCTCTGACTAATTCTGTGGGGAAAGACCAGCAGATCAGGGCCAGCTGAAGATACTGAACCTCTGATATCTCCACGTATTGCTCAATTCCTCCATGAGCCACCCTCATCTGACTTAAATGCACTGTCATGCCATTTGGCACTAAGATATTTAATGTGTAGGTTAAACTGGTCTCCTGCCTGGCTTATACATTTCTAGAATTATATAGCTGGAAGGAGGTTGACAGATCTAACCCAAACTTACAGCCACTGCAGGAACCACCCTATGAGTCTCTTCAAGGCCGGGCGCGGTGGCTCATGCCTGTAATCCTAGCACTCTGGGAGGCCAAGGCGGGCAGATTGCTCGAGGTCAGGAGTTCAAAACCAGCCTGAACAAGAGCAAAACCCGTCTCTACTATAAATAGAAAGAAATTAATTGGCCAACTAATATATGTAGAAAACATTAGCTGGGCATGGTGGCGCATACCTGTAGTCCCAGCTACTCGGGAGGCTGAGGCAGTAGGATTGCTTGAGCCCAGGAGTTTGAGGTTGCTGTG